ATATTTATTTATAGATCCATATTGTATTATGTGATCCTTACATCGGCTGATGTTTGGGTCTTTTCTTAAGAGATTAGCATAATTATTTATGGGCCCATCTGCAATTGTTTGGGGGGAGGGCCCAGAACTCTATCGAACGGTCACCCCGATACCGTTTCAGAGGTCTTCTGCCCCAAGAGCACCATTCATTCTATGCCTAATTAGATACACACACATCGCCCCGAACTCTGTTAGTGTGTGTGTGTGTGTGTGTGTGCCACATTCCACCAGTCAGTGGCAGAGGCACCAAGGCACAGGCAGTGGCCAAGAGACAAAGCATAAGCCCAAAATGACCGAATGTCGATAAAAATAAATGCAGTCTTGCCCTTTTTCGAAAGAACAAACGCATTTCTAACAAGATTGACACACCGTCAAAGATGCGGAGAGATGGAGTGATGGAGAGACAAAAGAGCAAGAGGAGCCAGGGCCAGAAGAACCAGAGAGTGACGGAGAGACAAAGCAAAGAGACGGCAGGTGCCAGAGCGATGTCACACCACTGCTTTGCCTAACGGCATTCGAAATTATAATAGAAGCAAGACAAAACAAAAGATGCCCCTGGGATGTGTGGCACCCGACCCGAGCAATTATCGATGAATATTTACATATCAAAAACGATTTTCAATACTGGTTTGAAGTTCAATAAAATCATCAAGAGGCCACAAGAGCATACAATTCTAGTAGGAAAACAAAATTCATGCCAGCAGTTTTCTGGCTACCAAAATACAACTCCCAAAGGTTGTAGCTGTCTCTCGTGTTGTGCCATCGCCTGTTGCTGCTGTTGCATGGCTGTCCGTCCCATATGTACATATGTCAATGACTTTTACAAATTGATCGAGTCGAAGACCCCAAAACGGGTTAATTGTGTTAAATGGTCACCGCCCACATGAACCTCGCACTGCACTCGGAAGAAGATAGTTGTCGAGCGGCAGAGAGGCAGAGAGGCAGGCCTCTCGAGATACAATATCCAGTAGATGCATTTCTCTACTCTAGGCATGTGATGGCAATGATGCCTTTGCTTTCCTTTCCTTTATAGAGTGTATAGAGATGCTCACATGAGAGTTTCTTTTCTGTTTTCCATTTAAATGCAGATAATGGACCGTCCGTCCGAGCGACCTCTTATCGCTTGTTCTGCTGGCGGTGTTGCGGTGTTGCGGTGTCTATCTGTTTATCTATTTGTAGCGCACGGATACAGACACTTATCTGGCAGGTTGTATCTTTCAGTCGCGTTTCGCATTCATTCAATCGCTTGAACGTGACCCATCAGAGTCAGCAAAGAGACGCGAAAGGAGAGAGAGAGAGAGAGAGAGAGATCAAAGAGGTCGAAAGGTATGCAGGGAATGAATGTTTGCCAAAGGAAAACAAGCCGTGTTACTCCACTCACAATTCAATTTCGCCACTCCCCTCGCTCATTAGTGAGCTTAATTTTTGCATTTTTTCAGGTCTCAGACCTTGCCGCACCGCACATTTGGCGCAACATCTTGCGATAAGTTGTGAAAATATTTGCTTAAGTGAAACAGAAAGCGTCGACGCACACAGACATTGTGCATTATAAGGTTCTCTCTAGAGTACTCTCAATTCTCTATTTTTGATAAAAAAGAGAGACAGAGAGCGATCTAGGGTAGCGGGCAACCTTCCATAATGATGGCTTTTGGTTTTGGCAACAAAACAGAATCCCCTTCTGGAAACATTTTGTTTATTATTCAAGACGTTTAATGAGATGAATGCGCATCATAAACCACTGCCCAGAGTCGGCCAGCGAAAAATGGAATGGTGTGGGGTGGGATTAGTGTTGAGTAAATAGTCGCATAATATCTTCCAAAAGATTATATGTACATACATACAAACATATGTACCTAAAAGTATGATCGTTTCGGGCAGCTGTTTTCCATGGTATACCAACAGTTTGAGCCAGGGTACATAATAAATAAATATATTTCGCCCATATCCATTCCTTTAACAATAAATGGATGGTTTCGACAGATGTGCAGGTGCTTGCAATAGGGTTTCCAATTTCTTTAATTTTTCCTATAAGAAGTGAAGTTCTAATAGATTTCCACTCAGTTACAAGAGTTCTATCTTTTGCTGGAGTTGTGTTTGAAGTCTCCAGATTGAAGCAGTGCTATTCGAAAGATAAAATGGAAAAATTGGTATACATATTACAAACACACAATGTAGGGGGGTGTGGTGGTCAGGACATTATCTGATCGATATTTAAGCATCCATTAAGGTACACAGAATTGACGGTAATTGCATTGCTGTCCACGACCTTGGTTGCTTCCAGCGTAGCGCTTTTTTTGCGATTAATTTATTTTTATGAATCATAAATTGCCATAAAGACGCGGCGGAGTTTGAGTTGGCAATTGTCGGCGTTGGCTGCAATTGCGCCCAAGTTGCCAGAACTCTATTTTTAGAACACAAGCGAGCCCACGGGCAGCGTCCACGACTTACACGGCTCCACTTCTGCGACAGCGGCTGCTGCTCCTTTGGTTTTTATATGATTTTTCTGTCCGTCTGGCAATAATTTATGTTATTTGACTTTTGTATCCGATGGACCGATCAGCATCCAAAGAAGAAGGTTGCCCATAATTGCACGTTCCTCCCATTAATCGGGGTGGGAAACCGTCCTGCGATTGCACTGCTTCACCTGCTGTGCGGAACTGCTTCCCCAAGTTCATCCACTGCTTGCATTTGCAATAAGCTGCAACTGAAGTTCTCTCTCTCTCTCTCTCTCTCTCTCCCTCCGTCTCTTGTGAGGCTTTCTTTCGGCTTAGCCCGCTCATTAGTTGAATTGTCTCTTCACTTGTCGCACACTCCTTCAACTCCCCTCTCTGTGCACTCCACCTGCGCGTCACTCCATTAGAGAAACGTGACATATCGCAGACAGAATGATTAACCTCCATCTAGCTTCCGCTCCCGTCCCAACACAATGAAGCTACAGCTTGTTTACTTCTATAACTTCTTTCCCTCTCGTGTTATTTTTATAATACTCTGGCAATGGAGAGTACTCCGATTTTAGCAAACACCTTACGGTTTCTGTGACTTAAATTTCAAACAAAATTTACATCATGTAGTAAAAATATTGAAAATATTAACCATACAGCTAAAAACTGTCGTGCGTTGTAACCACAAACACGCATGTAATGTACATATGCATCTAAAAGACAGCTACTCCCGAAGTTAGCTTCTCTTAGACCCTCCTTAATTTTGCTTTGTTCTTCTTCGTCGTCGTATTCTTCAATGCAAATGCTATTAGCGCAAACAGCGCCAGCAACAAAAAGTGCAAAAATGTAATTAAATTGTTTTACTTTTTACGGATTCGCACGTCGGCCATTAGAATTGAGGAAACTGTAACAAAGCCCCACCACCCAATATGATTAGGTGGGGGTAAGTAAGAGACCGGCACGAAGCCAGGTTACATCACAATGCACTGTTATAGCGACAACAGAAGCTTAATGAGCTGCTCCCTTCTCCGTACCCACTACGCCCCCAAACCATCCACATGTCGTCAACAGGGGTAGGCGTGTCGAAGCCAGAGGTACACGAAAGCAATGTTGTTCTAAATTCGGAGAGGGACAGTTAGAGAGAGAGACAGTGTGTGGGACACTGCTCTAGTATAGCAATTATCTCTGTTAACTCAAAAGTAAATAGTTCATAAATAAATGATTTATATAATTACCCACACGGAATGACGTTCGAGGGAGCGATGGGGTGGAAAGGAAAGCCAAAGAAATGAAAAAGAAATAAAAGCAGCGCCGCCGGCAAAGTAATGATCATCCGACGCCTCTGCTGCCGTAACATGCAGACAGCCAGCATATATGTACACAAACGCAAACGAAAGCCGCTTCCCGGACAGCAAACAAAATGCACCAACACACACGTGCATGCCCATAGGCACCGCAAGACACAAAACAGAAACCGAGACAAACAGACTACGACGACGACGTCGCTGTCGATGAGGGCGCCACAGGCGGCAATACATATTTTAGCCGGTGGCCAACGCAGTGATGTTTATACCCTAGCTAAAATGATTTTATGATATTTAGCAAAAAGGCCTTTTATTTAATCAAGCAGTAGATATTGCCGTTTTGTGTGCACCACTGACTCTAAAATATTCTAACTAACCATTCAGTCAGTACTGACATACTTGAACGTACATACATATGTATGTACGCAGAACAAGGTATGTACATGCCTGCATGGGTATCAAAGTCTCGTTTACCAAATTCAGCCTTCCTTTCTTGTTTTCAGTCTTGCCATTACCTTCTCCTTTTTCTTTGGTTAGCCCCTGCCCCCGCCACGACCGAACTGTTACGTTGTCTGTCTTTCCTTCGCTTCAATAAACAAGCCGAATGCCGTCTTATAATCTCTACCTGCAACGAAACTGGATCAAAAAGGGGGGAACAACATCGACAGGGAGTCAGAGTTAGGGCAGGGCAGGGAAAGGCAGGGGTCACAACAATGCGACACATTGTGTGAGAGAGCTTGACCACTGCACCAGATTCTCTCCCGCTTCTTTGCTTACTCTTACTTTACAGCAGTGTGTGTGTTTGTTTATGATATCTGCGTTTTATGTAGGTGAACAGAGGCTTTTTTTCCAATCGTCACCTCTTATGTTTGTCCTCAAAGGGGTATATTTTTTATCCGTTTGATTTTGAAAAGGTATACATACCTATCTGGGACTTCCATGTCATTCACATTGTACGTGCATATAGCAGTTTCAGGAATTTTCATTTTGTTTTTACACCTTCGTATACAAACAACAGTTTTGTTAGTTGGTTTTATAAAAATTATTCGTGTCAAAAGAAAAAGTTTTTAAATTACTTGTTTTACAATCGAACATACACACACACGGTATTAAAAAGTCGAATACAACACACAACATATTTTTAAAACTGCATGATGCAGACGCAAAGTTTAAGTGAACAAGAACAACAGCCGAAAACTGCGCCGGCGGCGACGGCTACGGCGACGGTGTCGATTTCGTATTTCTTTTTCGTTCTCTTCGGCGTCCTACTCTATTGCGTCTTCCAATTGAAGGCACTCGGCATTTTGAGACGTCTGCTTCTGTGGTGGCGTAAACAGCGGCAGCGGCCTAGGCAGAAGAAGAGGCAGAGCAGAAGAAATAGTTTGAGGCGTAGACATATACACTTGCACGTTAACAGGCGCGTACGCACTTACACACGCCATGTGCAGAGGATCGGGCTAGAGATAGAGTTTGAGCAGTTTCCGAAATTAATTTTGCCACTCTCTACAACACAGAAATCCGTGATGAACCACCTACGGGTGCACAAATTCAAGATCGGCGGCAAGGACAGCAGCAACGCCGCTTCTGCAGCGATTGCGGCTGCAGCCGATCCCTCGGACAACAATAACACGAACACGAACAACAACAACAATAACAACAATGGAAGTGGCGGTGCCAAGGGATTCCTCACGCGCATCAAACGGTACTCGGTACTGGGGAACAAGCTGAGTCGCCGCCACTTGGGGAGCCTCAACTTACAGCCGTCGGCAGCCGGATCGGAGGTTGCCGGCAGGGGAGAGCGTACAGGGCAGTCGCCCGGCAAGACGGTGTCTGGAAGCTACAACATGACTGGCAGCCATTCGGAGGACCATCGGCTGGAGATCGGTGCCCCGGTGCTTATATCGACCACCACATTGGACACGGACCGCTTTGATGTAACCGAGGCGCGACTCAAGCAGATTGGCGGCGGCATTGCCCAGACCTCGACCATTGTGCGCACCCTGACGCCGCGCAGCTCCGACGAGGAGGAGTTCTTGGATGCCCGCTGCACGCAGCCCGATCGGGATGAGCGGGATGAGCCCGAGGAGTATCAGACACCCATACATCAGCCACAGGAAGGCCTCGAGAAGCCACAGGCACAAAAGGAAGATCCAGAGCCACAGGCGCAGGAGGATTTCAAAGAAGGCTTGGTGAAGGATGAGCAGAAGGAGGAGGAGAAGGAGAAGGTGGTGATGCCACCGATGCGAAGGGCCAACATTGCCCGCCAGCAGCAGGCCATGTCCGTGCAGAATCTGCACAGAACCGAACTGAAGGTCTACCTGCACAAGTCGCCCTCGATGACGCTGGACATGAACGTGACGGCTCCAGGGCATCTGGGCCCGGGCCTGAACATGCCTGAGCTTCCGGAGTTGTACGGCGACAGCAAGCTAAGTCTGGCGGCCAGCTCCATGGAGAATGACAAGGAGAATACACCAGTGGTGGTGGGCGTGCCACCAACCGCCAACGGATTAGAAGGATTCCTGTCACAGGAGCCACACTTTCGGAGCATCGAATCGTTCCAGCTACATAGACGCTCGAAGCGCAGCTCCTCTCAGCCGAGCTCCAAGCAGAGCTCCAAGATAAGCCTCGACTGCTCTGTGCACAGCTTTGACTTTGACTTCAAGTCGGTCAGCTATCAAAGTCTAAATGCCCAGAACCTGATGGTGTCCATTGACGAGCTGCAGGAGATTACGCGGCAGATCAACGAGACGGAGGACTTCACCAAGGAGGTGGATCTAGAGTACTGCGAGCACCGGGATCAGCTGCGTCCCAGCGAGCGTCGCATTACGCTGCTCAAGAACAAGAACCAGACACTCATCCACTTCAATCAGCAGAAGGAGAAGCTGCGCAAGGGCTGGCATGGCATGAAACACTGGCTCGGCGAAGAGGGTAGCCGCCTAAAGGAGGCTGTCCGCCAGCAGACACCCCTCAAGCGTCTGGCCCGCTCACGCAGCAATCTGAATCAGTCGACAACAGACGCGAGTCGTCTGTCCTTATCGCCGGACCGTGCGACGCGCGACGTCACCGAAAGCTGTGAGGATATCACCCATCCCACGGAACTGGACTCCTCCATGTCCCAGAGGGCAAACAGTGATGAGGATTTGTCACCAAATGCCAAGCGCTTCAAGGATGAGGTATACCAAAGGAATTGCTGTTCGTCGCGGGCTGGCCGTGGTCGTGTTTGTAGACATGGTCGTGGTGGCCGTCGTGGCCACCGTTCACGCTGGAGTTTCATTTCATTGCTAACTGGTTCAAATTCTTTATACTCCCACCAGGGCCAAAATGGATTCGAGGAACTGCGTCGCTACATCAAGCAGGGCGGAGACTTTAGCAAGGAGCTCATATTTGTCCTGCAGGAGCGGTAAGTTCCATCTCAAACTAAGCCCATTTCTTCTTTCCATCACCACTACATCCTCGCACATGCATCTCTGACTACTTCCAGTGCCGATTCCGAATTGATCTACTCCAAATCACTCTCGAAGCTGGCCAATAAGCTTAACAAGGCTGGCCGCGAGATACCTGGAAGTGTGGCGGATGCCTGGCGTGGCGTGGCCACCGAAATGGAGAGTCGCAGCGATATCCACCGCCAGCTGGCGGCCTCTCTCACCGATGAGCTGGTCAAGCCGCTCAAGGTCGTGGTCGAGAGTCACCACAAGGCGCGCAAGGCGGTTAGTAGCAAGCCTGAACTCCCCGTCCATAGCATCTTGTGTAACTCGTTGTCTGTCTTTCTCGTCCAGGTGGAAAGCACTGTGGACAAGGCCGCTCGTGTGCTCAGCGAATGGCGCATAACGGAGGCCAAGGCCAAGAAGGCCTCGCATACGGCGGCGCGTGAGAACGAGAAGCTGCAGGACGCCATGCTAGATGTGCGCATCCAGAAGTCGCCATCCATTGCCATGCTCCACCAGGGTCCCAACAAGATCTCGGCCGAAAAGGAGCTGAAGAACGCGGAGAAGGACTGCGTGAAGCTGGACAACAAGCGCAAGAAGGCCGAGGAGGCTGTGAAGCGTGCAGATGTCGAGTACTACACAATGTGTGTGCGCGCCGAACGGGCACGCGTCGACTGGGAGATGGCCGTGCTACGCGGCAGCTCTCAGCTGCAGACCAACGAACAGCAGCGTCTTGCCAATATGCACAACTTTGCCCAGCAGTACGGTCGCCTCATATCCGATATAAATCCCATACTCGGTGGCCTCACATGCCGCCTGCAGCCCCAGCTGGATGCCTGTAATGTCGACAAGGATATGCTTGTGGTGAGCAACATTCGCCACCATTCGGAGGGACCCAGCGAGCAGCTGCTGCCCGACTTCTACTGCGAACACACCACACTGGCCATGAATCGCGAGCGGCGCAAGCATGCGCTCATCAAGCTGCTGCAGCTGGTGAAAACCGATCTGGAACGCGAGCGTAAGTCACGTGACGGCCTCCGCGGTCTCTCTCAGTCGTTGAACAACCAGGAGAACCAAAACATCACCGATAAGCTGTATCACGTGAGTCCGCCTCCCCTCAGCATACCCTAGAGAGATTGCCAAGTTCCCTTATTGATGTCTAACTCTTGCAGATTCGATCCATGCTCACATACCTGGAGGGATCACGCATCAAGCTGCAGTCTGCCCTCTTGGAGCTGGACCACAAGCCCCGCACCACACATCCCCTGGCACAGCACATTCAGGTTAGGAAGTCCTCCTCCTTTTAAGGCGTGTGTCTCTGTCCTTTCGAACCATTGGGAATTATTAAGAATTATCAAGGCGCAAGAATGACGATGTCAAGCCACAAATTTATTTGATCAAATTTAAGATATAAAGATGCCAAGGTCCGCCCCGAAATTTGTATGCATAAGTCCGGAATCTCAATGAAGATGGAACAGACACTTAAAATGAGTTAGTTTTAGCCAAGCAAAACAATGTAAATGCTTGAAAACAATTCACATTTTTCAAAGGCTCAAAATTTCCACCCTCCGGGTTTTACAATTCCATAATTTAATTCAAAATACACATGTAAAACATGGACACACAATTATTCACGATTTACTTTCAATATATTAAAAGGTTGTTGTTAAATCCCTTGTATATTCTCCATCATATCATAAAGATATTTCTTTTATATACTTTTTGAACTCTAATTAACTCTCGAAGCCACGTTAAAAGCTATCTAAATATCGAATATTGATTTGAATTTTTGTATTATGACCCTTTATAGATAACGCGGGATCGCACTGGGCTTCAACAGAGCATTCTGAAGGTACCCAATTGGCTGAAGAACAACGACAAGTCACAGCAGTCCGCAGGGCTGGACGTGACTGGCTTCGGCACCCAGGATGATGAGCAGGAGGAGGACGCCTGCTCCCAGATGATGGGCAACGCGCTCAGCAACAGCTCCTGTGCGGACATCAGTGTGGCGGTGGCGGGGCCAGCTCTGAAGCACTTCAATCGGAGCAAGAGCAACATTGAGACCTTCAACACCAGCCAACCAAAGATAATCTCCACGACGAACGCCTCGCTGGCTGCTGTGGCACTGACGGCTTCTGTCAAATGCAAGACCATACCAGCGAACCATCACCACAACCACCATCAGGGCAGCGATCGCGGCCAGGCGGATGGTGGCTCCAATCAGCAGGACTCGGACTTTGATGAATTCAGTTCACAGGACGAGGACGAGGAGGACACGGGCCCCATCAAGGGACAGCAGGGACCACAGTCGCAGTCGCAGTCGCAGTCGCAAAACCAAAACCAAAACCAAAACCAGATGCCAACGCAGCATTTCTATCAGAACGCGCAGGATATGCAGAAGGGAGGCCATGGCCAGGGCCAAGTGCTCGGACGATGCAAGGCGCTCTACAGCTACACACCAAAGCTCTACGATGAACTGGAACTGAGTCCCGGCGACATCATCGAAGTTCATGCCAAGCAGGATGACGGCTGGTGGCTGGGGGCCCTGCGGAATCACATTGGCATCTTTCCTGCCACCTATGTGGAGGAGTGCTAGGGCATACGAGACGCTACCTGAAGCATCACTAGAGATATATGTAGTACGTGTGTGTGTGTGCGAGAGAGTGCTGTGTGTTTTTTTGCAGTGTGTGAATGCGTTTCGAATAATTATAAGAGTGTGATGAGGCGAGGCGAGGCTCCTCCGCGTTTGACTTTAAAAATGCTGCTGCGAGGATTGCCCATGCGTTAATTTATCATTGGGAAATATATAAATATGTATATCTATATTATTATTAATTAATTAAAAAGAATATTTAATTTAAAGTGCTTCCTTCCTTCTTTTTTTTTCCTAGAAAAACACACACGATATACATGCCTACATGTTGTGCATATGTATCCTTGTATATCCTTAGAATAGCACCCCAGTTGATGAGTCATTTAACCGCCTGCCTGCTGCACATTTAACTGCTGAACATTGGGCAGATTTAAGCCGTCACTAAAATATCTTAATTGTTATACATATATTTACTATTAATTTTTTTTTTATACGCATATGGTACCACATAATGACAAACATACATAAATCTATGCATACAAATATACAACCATTAAATATATACAATTTACTTACGTTTCCATCAGCCAGTTGTTCAGTTTAGTTTGGACACATAAAATAATATATTTATACCCATAAAACTGCTTCAAACTGATTGTAAAAATAAAAGAAAATAAATACAAAGGGAGATGTTTATTGGTAGCCGTAAAGATACCATCGGGGTTGCAGCCTGCTTAAAAAATGATTTGAAATACTTATTAATGGCACACGTATTGTATTTTTTACCACAATTGCAAGCTATCCTCTTTGCCAGCCGCATCCTAAATGTGCTAAAAGTTTTCTTCTAGCTGTGCTGCATGAGAAGCTGCACCAAAAAAAAAAAAAATAATTCGTGTAAAACCCAACCGAACTGAATAAGCGGCTTCAGACAAATTGCCTTCAAATGGAATGGATAAATAATTGTGTATGATTTTTGCCATGGCAACGACTCATCTGCAAAAGGGTATTAAAAGCGACTGCACCCCATCTATCGTCGTTTACTAAATCTCATCAAATCTCAGGGCAGCAGCACAGCTCTAGGGTGCAATAAAATCTCAGGACATTGGCATCGTGAGGGTGCCATCATCATATCTAATTAAATGCAAAATGGGGTGTTTCTGCAAAGGAACAAATACCCAGCAACCAGCCTGCATGGCAACAAACAAAAACAAAAACAACAAGCGCAAGCCTTATATTTTTCACATATTTTTTTAATTCACATCAAGAGCAGAACTTTGAAACGTGGCTAATTAATGCTTATTAAACAAGGTGGATTCTCCCACGCCCCTTGCAATAAAATTACATCCATGTCCTGTGTGTGTGTGTGTGTGTGTGTGTGTTGGTTTCCAGTTGAATAACTGGAAATGTTTCCATTTATTCCTGTATCGTATTTCATTGATATATGTATGATTACTGTACGGTTTAAAGAACACGCACCGCATATGTTTTTCAAATGGGTTTTGGGAGTGCTTTCAAGTTCAAAAATAAATTCCATTCAGCTGCCACACATACACTATTTTTTGTTTGCTGGAATTTTGGTGTAGAAATTCACACAAAATCGTATTCTGGGATCTTTTCATTTAACAAAAAGTCTTTTGGGTACATTTTCATCTATAAATCTCGTGTGCATACGAGTATTTCACATTTCAAAAACTATTTTTTGTTTTGTATATATTTTTGGTGAACAAAAATTCACAAAAACTTGTATTCTTCGTATAGATTTTTGTCCATTAAACCACAGCTCATTTATTACTTCTTTGAAATAGTTTCAAAACAAACGGAAAAACAACTTATATTTGGGGTTATATCTTCTGCTACTCAAACCACTGCCCCATAAGTATACAATCTCATAGATATTCCAAAAAAATAGCCATATTTTCTTTCATTATTTCTCTCTCTCTCTCTGTGTATCTCTTGGTACATCGTACTAAGTACATGGTATGTTTTAGTACGTAGTTTTATGGTGAATAAATTCACAAAAAAAATGTGTATATAGAGTATAGGTTCTTATATTGTAGGCCATTTATTCAAACCTTTGCGCACATAAATATATATTTTATTCTTCCAAAAAAAAACTACTACTTTGTATGCGTTTCTAGTGAATATTTTCGCACAAGTTTGCATTCTTTTCATAGTATTTTCTTCATCTGCTGAAAAACAAAAGGTCGCATGCATCTCGAGTAGATATTTTCACATACGTTCTTTTAGTATTTGTGTACATTTATTGGTTATATATATTTGATATTTTTGTTTGTTTGTTTATTGTTTGATCCTATGATTCATCATGGAAAAATCACAGAATTTCGGTTGGCCGTGGACCTTTCTTGCCATATCTATCTCTGTATCGGTTGACATAACCCTTTTTCTTCCAGTTACTGACACCGAGTATGACATCCGTGAGATTCGGCACATTGTGCCAGGACAGAAGCTGCTCGTAGTACTCGATGACCAGATGGGGACACAAAGTGCTGGTCTCCTCATGTGACACCAGATCAATTTGGGAGCATCCCTTCCACTGCATCAAGTGCATGATGTCGCCCAGGGCATCGGTGGCGGCCAGTACCTTGATCGGTTCCAGCCCTCGGGCAAAGCCCCTCGGCCCAGCGCTGGGATCCAGAGTGCGCATATACCATGGCTCGTTTACCTTCGATTGGGTTGATGCCTGCGATTGCTCCGACTTAGCCGATTCCATTGACATGTCAGTGGACTGGCGCCTCTTTTCCGGTGGCGGAGATGCGGGCGTGTCTGATATATCGGAGTACATCGACATGCGAGATAATTTAAGACTCTTTTCCGGTGGCGGGGACACGGGGGAGTCAGATATATCCGAGTACATTGACATTTTAGATAATTTGCGCTTCTTTTCATGGGACTTACGCCTCTTTTCGGATGATTTGCGCTTCTTTTCCGATGACTTACGCCTCCTTTCTGGTGGTGGGGACAGGGGTGACTCCCATGTCGAAATGTCATCCGGGGGAGGGGATAGTGGTGACTCCCATATCGAATTATCCTCCGAGCCACTACTCCTCTTTCCAAGTAGATACGATGTGGAGGTCGAGTTGCGATTCTTTTCTGGGATAGTCGACACCGATGACGTTGAAGACTTGCGCTTGGTTATGGGATTGGGATTGGGATTGGGATTGGGGATCATCGGTTTGGTTATGCCCGATATCGATGGCAATGATGAATTGCGCTTCTCTTGCGGTAGTTTGAATGATTCCGCTGCCGATATCGATGACGAAATCATTGACCATGCCGATTCCGATAATGAAGTGCGTTTCTTCTGTTTAGGCGGCTGCCATGGTGGTGGCGGACTTCGCTTCTTTTCCGGTCCTTGTGGTGAATCCGGTGACGAAAGCTGAGGGCGCAGCAGTTCGGGGGGCTCCGATAAAGCCGATGACGATAACATAGACCATGTTGACTCCGATAACGAACTGCGCGTCTCTTCCGAGGATTTGCATGGGACCGTCGATGTGGATGGAAATGATGCAAAGCGCTTCTTTTCTTTCGGTTGATGTACGATCGATGACGATGCCAATGAAGAGGATGAGGTCGATGAGGATGATGTTGACGAGAAGCGCTTCTTTACCGTGACACAAGAAGAAACTGATTCTCCAGGTGACGATGAGCTACGCTTTCCTGAAACAATCGACGGATCATCCTCGTAAATACGTAATGCATTGGGGCATTGGAGCACCTCCGCATTCTCCCAAGTATACTCCGGATCCATGCGGCCCAACCACCGTGCCAATTAGTGAATATTTCCTCTTGCCTCTTTCCTCTGAAAATCCCAAAGTTTCGGCCGATGATCCCAGCGTTGCATTGGATGGCAACAGGTGGCCCGCCCGTGTTGCGTGGATAAGCTGTGATTTTCCGCTGCACAAAAATGGGATGTTTGAAACTTATATGAGATTAATTGCGTATCAATGTTGCGTTTCTCAATCTGTGGCAAAAAAGTGACTAAAATCGATAATCGAGTGGGGCAGTATCTTATGGATACACACAAACAAGCATACATGCTCGTGGGTGGGAAAGCTATATACAGACTCTATGGATTTTTTAGCGCTGATTGATTTGCGTTAACTCTAAAGCTCCAAAGGCATTAGGACCATTGCCAAAAAGGACGAAAAGCTTCCCAAACAGCCTTGCCGGGCAACCCGCCAGAGCAGCCCAGAGCTTTATTTTCAGGTATACCTACAACGACCCAGGGAAGGAAAAAATATTGTTGTAATTATTTTTGCTGACCTGTTTTTGTTATGGTTTTCGCTGTTTCGTTTTGTTAAATTTTAAGTGATAAAATTGCAATTATTTCTCTTGTTCAAGGTATGCAACAGATGGTCCTCCAGTGTGTCAGCACTTTTTGCACATTTTTTGCACATAAAACCGTTTTACACAGCCGGAAACTAATTGGCCAACAGAGCTCTCCGGCCTGCCATGTTTAACCGTGTGTGCGAGTACTTTTGTAATGCTGTGCTGGCTGCCTGCTGCAATTACTGGCAACCCGTGTGCCGTGTCCGTGTGCGCTCCTTGCCACAGATTCCGTGTTGCCACACTCACCCCCAAACCTACATACTTTTGCGGAGCTTTTTTTCATGAAGGGCGCCACATTGTATGCTTGTGTCGGTAATTGATTTGAATTTGAATTCATTTTTGGCGCCATTACAGCTGCGATGGTTGCTTTTTGGTTTGGGATTAATTGCGATATCGCAAGGCTTTATAGAATTGTTTTTTCAGCAGCTATTTATTGGCTATACGAAGCTTTAAAACATTCAACGATTTTCATTGTGACACCACAGCAAATACCTGCTCGGAGGCATTGCCAAATGTCTCTGTAACCTGAACTTTAGACAAATAAATTCATAAACGAGAAGGGACGTGTGAGACGCTTCTTACGCGTCACAACTTTTATACCCGGCCCTCAGGACTACATCTAGATGTAGAAGACATCGCCAACCACTAGATATCGTTCACATTACAGAACACGTAGTAAAAGCCTACTAAATAAAATGCATCAAACAAATTGGATCAGTTAATATTTTCCAATTTATGAGATATTTAAAACAGCAATAAAATTTTTCAGCATTTCAGCAAATTTTTCAAAAGTGGCGCCATCTATGAAAATTTCTTTTACGCAACTTTGATGGTCCAATGGTCTGCACATTCTGTGCAATAATGACCGATAGGTTTCACAGCAAATTTTCAGAGTCAACGCCAGGGGGAGGGCAGAGGCAGGGGCCGAGTGAAGCAGAAGCAGAGTGTGAATGAGAGAATGTAAAAAGAGCAACAAAAGCTGCGGGACAGGGTGGGGTTTAGCCACTGGAAATTAATTTCTCCATTGTGGCTATAATAATGATCCGATCGGATGCCAATTTGGTGATTTTAGTTTTTAGTTTTTAATTTTCTTGTATCTTCAAAACTGTAGATTTGGGGGGTTTTCGCTCTTTTGCGGAGGCGGAAGGGGGCGTGGCTCATTTTTTAAATACGCTGGTTTCAGTGTGAGCATACAGCAGTCCGGAGCCAAAATTTGGTGGCTCTAGCTTTTATAGTCTCTGAGAACGAGCCGACAAACATGACGGACAGACGGACAGACGGACATGGCTCTATCGACTCGGCTATTGATGCTGATCAAGAATATATATACTTTATGGGGTCGGAAACGCTTCCTTCTGTGCCTTACATACAACCGTTATTCGCACAAATACAATATACCCTATTTACTCTTTGAGTACCGGGTATAAATGATGTTATGCTGGTGTGTATTTTTTTTTTGTTCATTTTATTTAGCATTCTCTTCTTTTTTTTGTTTTAATTTTTTTTCGGGTAAATACAATTTAATAAATTAAAAAATTCATAGATATATAAAAACAAAAATTAAATATTCATAAAATCTTTTATGCTCTTCTTCTCTTGGAGTAAAGTCGATAATCGTGTATTATTTAACGCCGTACGTATCGTTTATCGCTTAAGTTATCGGCTGGTGGCGATAATTGATTGGATCGAATAGGCTCTCCAGGGCTTATATTCGTTCTGCCCTCTTGTATTTTGGAGCAACATCGATAATCTCTTGCGATGCATCATCGTTTATGGTTTATCGGATCTTTCGGCTTGTAGCGATAATTGATTGCGTTTATGGGAGAGGCGTGGAAGTCATATTTCTGCTATTTATCTATAATATTCCCAGTATGTACTTTAGAAATCTAAAAAAGGTCAGTGTCCTCTCGGGAGGGGGCCTCAATGGATGCCGCAGAGTGCAAGAGCGAAACTAGAATATTTTTAAGGAAGAACTAGAAAGCATCACTGGCGTTCGGTTACTCCTGGAGCAAGCGAATTGCAGTGCAATGACAAATAGCACCACTTGCTGACTGCCATCGGTTTTTCGGGGATGGATCTTCAGTTCACATCGGTGGCTGTCTCCGCCGGAGCGATAGCTCCAGGGCCCGGCACCGCATTGTCCAGGCAGCGCAGCTTCTGGTACATGTGTATATAGTGGGCCTGCAGCTGCTTCTGGTAGCCCAAGACCTTGTCCTTTTCGGCGCACCACTGCCGCTTCTCCAGCTCCAGATTGATGCGAAAATCGTCCAGCTTCTCGCGCAGCTTGGCAATATCCTCGGCATACGTGGTGGATTCTTCAATGAGGGTGTCCAGCGTCTGCTGTTGTGCCTGTCCCTGTCCCTGTCCCTGTCCCTGCCCCTGGTCCTGTAGCTGCAGTCGTTGCATGATGGCATCCAGCCGGGGCGGTGGAGCCACCACCATCTCCAAGGGCACGGAAACGGGAGCTGCTGCCTCTGCAGAGGATGTGTACTTGCGCGTCTTCAGACAGATCTCATTGAGATTGTCCAGCTGCTGCTTGAGGCGTGTGTACCGGCCGCAGGGCTCCTCCCCGTACTCATGGGCAATGGCCAGATCGGAGAGTTCCTTTCGAAGCTTGGCCAGTTCATTGGTAAGTGCTCCAATCACCTGATCCTTTAGCGCAATGATTTTCTGTAGCTGCTGCAGCTGGTGCTGATGCTGGTGCTGGTGCTGGTGTTGGTGCTGTTGCTCCTCCTTTGGTTGACTTTGGCTTGTGATTTCGCTGCTGTTGCTGTTGCTGTTGCTGTGCTGGTTGTGGTGCTTAAGGCTGACAATTGCATGATCCTTGACATTGATTTCGATCTAAAAACAAGAAAGGATTAATTAGAAATGTAAGGGCTGCATCCTGCTGTGTGGACTCACATGCGCCTCCTTCAGCTGGGTCTTGAGTAAAGCTATCTCCCCATTGCGCTCGCACACCTTCCACTCGCTGTCCTCCAGCTGGGAGCGGAGCATGGCCACCGTCTGGCGCGTGTCCTCCAGCTGCTGGTGCAGCCCCATGGCCGAGGATTGGAGCTGCTGTTCGGACTGCTTCAAGTTCTGATTGCTGCAACGTGTGGCATCCAGCTGCTGCTGCAGCTTATGCACCTGCTCCTGCTGCCGCAGCTTGTGCTGCTTCAACTGGAACTGCTGCAGGGCCAGGAGCTGTTCCATTTTCTTCAGCTTCAGCTGATACTCGCGCTGCTCACGCTCGTAGAAGAGCCTCAGGCGTTGTGTCTCGTGCTCCCAGTAGACTTCCTTGTCCTAGCAAGCAGCAAAAAGACAAAGATGGGGCGTGTTAGTGGTGTCGGGTGTGTCTCTGTGGAGCCCTGGCCTTAACCTTTTGTACTTTGAAAATTACTTTCTCATTGTGCTCCATGGCTTGCCGCAGATACGACAGCTCCGAGTCGCGGTCCTTGAGTGCTGCCTCCAGTTCCGAGATGCCCGAATCCGAGGGCGAGGGCGTCAGATCACTCCCGACCATTGTTCCGCTGCTTTTGCTGCAAGTAACAAGATAGTCCCTTTTTGGGTTCTACAATCAATCAATATCAATGCCTCACCTGCTGGCTCCATCTGTCAGACATTCAGGATTCATGGCATCCTCATGGCTGGTGCTCCTGCCACTGCCACGCTGCAGCACCCGATGGTTGCGCCGCCTGGCTGCCAAATGCCGCAGATCTGTTGTGCCTGTGAAGGGAAGAAGATTCGTTGAAGGACCCGTTCGCTTCCCTTCCTTCGATGTTGCATTTACTTACTGCCAAACTTTTGTGTTACGGCTGTCGCCGGGAGTGGGGCCAACGATGGAGTGGATCCATAGCCATATCTTTCCACCGATCCAGCGATCGGTCCGACTTGCTGCTGTTGTTGCTGCTGCTGCAACTGTTGCTGTTGCTGCTGTTGTTGCTGCTGGAGATGGTGCTGCTGCTGCTGCAACTGCTGCTGCTGGTGGCATGCAATGCGATAGTCCGGCTCAAATGGTATTGGCTTGAAGGCAATGGGACGCAGATAGTTTCCAACCGAACCCGAAACACCTCCATTGGTGCTCTAGAAATCAAAATTAAATTTCAATCAAGGCCTAGCCCCTGAGTTTCACACAAAAAAGCCTCACCTGCTCAATGGCCTCGCCCATCGATGTTGGTTGCTGTTGCTGTTGTTGCTGCTGCTGCTGCTGTTGCTGCTCGTTAATGGCCAATCGACTTCCTCCGGTAATGGGTGTGGTCCGTCGTGCCACTGATTGCTGCTGATGTGGCAGCAGCATTGCTGGCAGCGACTGTAGCGCCTCCTCCTCGTTTGCGTACCGCTGCTCCTCTCCTCCTCCTCCTCCTCCACCACCGACCACACAGCTTCGACTCAGCTCAAACATTTGCCGGATGTTCTGGAACTTGGAACGCATCTGCAGCTGGTGGGGGCCACCATCCGCATTCCCATTCCCATTCCCATCCCCATCCAGATTGCTGTGACTCCCAAACTTCTGGCTGAGGCGCCTCTGCTCCTGACGCGACTTGAGCGTGCCCGTGTGGAACCCATGTCCATGGGAGAACTGCAGCAACGGTGACTGATGGCTGGGTGTGCTACGTAATGCCAGCGGGGCATTCGTCTCCAGCGAAACGCTGCGCTTGTGGCCCCGCTTGCCTGGCCCCATGGACACGACCGGTGGTGTGCCGGGTGGCGGGCAACCGACTGCGTGAATAGGCAGCGCCATGTGTGTGGCAGCGGACATGCTGATTGATCGAGAGCTGTAAAAAGGAAGAGAGAGAGAGAGCGTCAGCATTCGATGGGAACATTAAGAAAAACAGAGAAAGAAGGTTGATCGGGTTCACCATTTGTTAAAGAAAAAGGGTGTCGGGGTCACCACTATTAAAGGTACGAGCATGTGCATGTGGGTTACCATTTATTCTACAAATTAAACTCTCTCTATTGAGCTCTCCGTGATCCATCTTAATGCAACGAGGCATCGGCATGGTTTAGCTTTACAGATGAAAGTACCCTTTTGGAAGTATCTCCCCTCTTTACTATTCACTCTGTTTAATTAACATTCACCTAAGTTGAACCTCCATTTCGAGATTTATCTGTTCCTAAAACTGTTCCATGACCTTGCGAGACACCATATTGGGAAATGAGAGCTTGAAGCCAGGCACCATTTCTTTGCAAGTGATGCAGCAACCTGTTCTTAAGCCTTTGCCAAGAAGGATCTAGACGGATCTGAGAAGATCTCTTTCTGCACAGAGCATGGACTGGTCGTGGTCTTGCCATCGTGTTCCATTTTCGCACACTCTTCGTTAGCATCGCGAATGCCTCGAACTGCTCGAATGCTCGAATGATGATGATGGTCTCTCACATTTGGTGGTCTGCTGCCAGCTGCCATCTGCCATCTGCCTGCTACCCCCCGCGGCCATTAGCCGCAGATTCGATTCGATCTTCTAAGCCAAGCCCAAAGTCTTATGCTCTTAACGGTGTATACCGCTTTGCCATAGACATAGACGGGGCACTGGCGCTGGCGCTGGCACTCTCTGGCACTCTCTGGCACTTTCTCATTTCTTGTCGCACGACCCATATTTTTACAACTATTTCCATCTGTCCATCCACTAGTGGACTGGCATTCGCGGACTGGAACTCGTCTCAGATCTGGCGCTGGCTTCGGGGCACTCCACTCCACTCTGTAAGGTTCTGCCTACTCTGGCAACTAGTTTTTCTCTAGCCCCAGATGTGCTCAACGCTGCTCTTCGATGCTCCCCGATCTACTGATCTCCTGATCGCAGATTGCCCAACGATTAAGGTTAAGGTCAAGTGCGTGACCCGTGCGAGGGTCCATGGGTTTTATTTATTACTGCAAAGCCTGCGATTGGGTAAGGGCGCCAAATGGGGACAAGAGTCAGGGGTTAAGCATTTTGCAGCTTACATTTTATGACATTTTTCATGGTAAACACTTAGCACCTGCACAGCTTAGTGTCCAGGAAACAGTGGGACGAATAAGTCGGATAAAAAAGAGGTGGAAGGGAAGAATATATATTATTTGATGGGATATATCGTTATCTATCGCTTGGTAATGGAACTAGCAAGCGGAAACTAAGCTTCAACCGCTTGAAAATTTAACAAAAATTAAACTGGAACACAGAAAATAGCTTCAGGTAAGCCTGACATAAGTCGTTCGTGCATTATTTAGCAACCTTTCGCTGTAAAGATTTTGTATGTTAAGGGGAAAATCGCAAGGAAATCAGAGCAGATGCAGCAACATCTACAGCAGTGCTGTAGTGCTGCAGTTACAGATAAATGATGGTGTGTGTTCTGTTTCCTGAGTGTTTCCAATCGGAACACACTCAACGATTGTGTGTTATCAGTGGAAGAACAGGTTACATTGATGTTGCTGTTGCTCCACTTACCAGTAGATACGATACCTCACCCCCAACCGTCTGTAAAAAGTATCTCGTAGATATAGTTTGTGTGTTTCCTGGACTACCAGTGCGAGCTAGTACGAGGTAGTACGAGCACGGTTAACTGTTAAACACTTGTATTAAGAGTCCAAACGGTTAGATAACTGTCAATCACATGGCAAAACCATTGAAGCCCATCCGAGAGAGCAGACAGCAGAAGGCAGTCGGCAGTCGGCAGTCGGGAGACGGGAGACAGCAGCAGGTTGTGTGGTTCCATTGTATCGAATGGTTGGTTGGCTTGTCCGCTTTGTATCCGTGTCTATTGGCCTGTTAAATGGTCAGCAATCTATTCATTTTCCATGCCCCATGCCCCATGCCCCCATTGCGAGAGCTCAAACAAAAGCCGACAATCGGCGACAATTTCCAGCCGAGCAAACGACGATCGACAGACCGTTCGACCGACCATCGGACAGCGTCGTTAAACTGCCAATGTAATTTATTTACTTCGGACTTGCGAAACACTCTCCATTGAAGCCACACATCCGCACACTCCGCATCCTCAAGAGGCCACTCCTCAGTCCACACTCCCCTTTGCGGCAAACACAAATCACATTAGCGGCTAACTGTTAGATTTTTAGCTGCAGAAATATCTGTTTGTGTACACGTAGCTGCAAAATCTGTAACTCTAAGCAGCAACAACAAATTATGAGCCAAACACGACCGAAAAACCCCTCTTTTTTTTGTGGCACGGAAACCTGTTCCTTCTCTCGCTGGCTTGCGGCTTATGGCCAGTTCTTGATGGTCAAAGCTTTCGGCTGTTGTTGCTTTTTGGCTCTTTTTTACGCTTATTGTTTTGTGTGCTTGAAAGTTTCTATGAATGAAAGTATCTTTTTGTTTTTGTTTCTGTGTCTGTGTCTGATTCTGTGGTTCGAAGGAGAGTCTGGAAATCAAAATAACAACACAAGATCCGCATCGAAAGAAAATCAATGGAGTGTGAGTGACCCTAAAGAATAGCGACAAGACCGCGCCATAGAGCGGGAGGGAGACAACAAGCATATGCCACGCGGCGTATGAGTAATCTGTGTGTGTGCGTTGCATATCGTCATCGTCGTTTGGGCCCGGTCCACACTGATCCGAACTGAACCGAACGGCTGCGGGATTATTAGCCAATGCCTTTTTCCCACGCTCGCCAGTTGGCAAAGATTTTATATGCATATACCTGTACTGACGGCCAGCCACTCAGCCGGCGACGACTGCCACTAGCGCACTTTACAGTGGTTCAATGCACACACATATACAAAATATGTGGAATAGTCTCCACTGGACGATAAGATACGGAGGCAAACTGAGGGGAAATATTGGTTAAACATACGGAAGGCTCACAAACCAACAAAAAAGGGTTCGATGAAAATTAATGATCCAGAAACCAACTCTTAAATCTGTTATTCTTATCGGAATGCAACCACTTTTGTTTTCTTATCACAGAAAGCCTACCGCTTGACCCCACACAGTATTTGGATGTGACGCAAGTCACGCACTATGAAAATATTTCAACATGAAGAAACAACCGATGAAATCTGCCGCATGACATGAAATATAGTGAAATAAATAAATATCTTAGGCCACTGTGCAACAACGCGCATTTCATTCCATTCCATTTGTTGCCTGCGATTTTTGTTTGGTTTTTAGTTTAGAGTTTTGTTTTGTTTTGTTGAACTTTTTGCCTGTTTGCATTCGAATGCTCGAATATCTCAAATGTCGGAACCGAAGCGTACGACTTGGGCGCTTGGGCGCTGAGCTTTCGGTTATTTATTGTTGATTGTGAATTTTTAATTGAATTCATTTACGAAGTAGACAACGGAGTAGACAGTGGAGCGAAGCGTATAGAGATAATTGCAATCGAAGCTGGAAACGGAATCGAACAGAGACAGGGAGACGGAGAGGGAGAGGGAGAGGTAGGGTATCTCTTAACTTATTTCGGGAGTTTTGGGCCATTTGGGCAGTCTCTGTGGCAGAGACGCATTCAACAGCAGCCAACGGAAAGCCATTCAACATTTTATAAGCGTGACGAAAGGCTGGAAAACTTTTCTTTTCTCTTTGCTATTATTATTATGATTTTTTCTTTTAATTTATCGCTTAGCAAATGTTTTTAGTTTTTCATTTTATACGCAAATGCATTTCAGGTTTCGATTTTCGAAATCATATTCATTTTTCTCTCTCTCTCTCTCTCTCTCTCTCTCGCACTTTCATTTCCTCCGCTCGTTTCTTTGGTTTTGTTTCACTTTCGTTTTGCATCATGCAGCGGATCGAAGCGGAATGAGATTGCAAAAGGTCACACAGTGCGGCCTGCGCGGCGCGATGCATTCAACTGTGACGTCAGGCGTTGGCGGCTTCATGCATTCATGGATTTATGGATGGTCTAATGGGTAGCAGTGGGGGTACAAATGAGGCAACACCCATGAGCAAACCCACTTTGGAAATATATCGAAATATTAGGCAAATGGCTCGATCCATCGATTGGGTGGGAGAGAGCTCGACCTTGACGGCGGTTGCCCAAGAGCAGGAAATCCCTTTTGACTGCTATTTCGTTGTGGTTTCCCTTAGGAAATCATTGAGTTTGACTGCGATTTCATCACACTTTGCGTTAGAGTGAAAAATGATTCTAAAATTAGTTTTTAGCTCCCACACTCCCAATAGCCAAGTACTTAACGTTCACCGCAGTCGTCGACACTCGACAGTCATACACATTCGATATTTATGAAGACCAAACACTCCACTCCTCCACTGCGATCTGCAAGCTGTCTGATGTCTGGAGAGACAATCCCCCATCCGGTGAGTGAAAGGTGCAGTCGCACAGCGACCAGACCAATTTTTGATGAGAATATTTTTCGGTGGTTGCTCAAGAATCAACTTGGGACCTGCGACTGCAACTGGAACTACTTGGAGACTTGATGGGGATCGACTGGTTACTTGTTACTGGTGCCTGGTCATTCCTTCCCTTATAAGGCTGCCTTTGGGTTACCTTCCATTCCCATTCCCATTCCCATTCCCACAATATTTTGTGCCCTTGGGGCTGGCTGGCAATTGCTGGTGGCTGCTGGCTTCTGGCTGCTGGCTGGATGATGGCATATTTTTCATCAGATTTTGAATTTTTCTGCTGATGTTGCAACATCTGTGAAGTACCAAAGTACACGAGCACTGGGTGCCACAGTTAAATATTGAATTTGTTCTGCAGTTCATTCTATTTTGTCAGTTCCAACAAAACGGTGGAGCGTGACTTTCGGTTGGGGGAATTGGTTTGGTTATGGGAATGGTAGCTAATGTGTGCGGACGTGGGAAAGTTCGCCTACGTTTAATGGTTGATCTTTTGGCTAGGATTTGGTCAGAGATCTTACAGCTGGTGGCGGGATGGCTGGCTGGAAGCCCCCGTTGTGCTTCGATGGATCAGTGAAAGCTTGCATGTGGCATGTGGAATAGCCTGCTCTGCATTTGTAATTGCTGCCACAATCGTTTGCAATAGAGTACCCTTTGTTACAGCAGAGAGTATAACAACTATAAGAAAATGCTGGGTATCATTGAAGGCTGAAGTGCTTGTCCGGATATTAAAGCTCGACCTGCGCTCATCCATCGCTTAATTGAGCGAAACCAAACTCTCGATTTGCATGATTCCGACTGTCATTAACATCGCAATGCCTCTTCCCCAAACACACATCTACTTCGCTCTCCTTCTGTCTCTTTTGTAGTTTTATATTGTCTGCCAAACTTGGTAAATAGACAAAATGTTGGCTTAAATATTTGCCTAACAAAAATTCAGTTGAAGAATTTTGAAACATTACGCCAACGCCGGTTACCAAAAAGCCAAAAGCCCAGAGACAATGCCAATATTCATTATAAGTTAAGGTAAATGGAATCTTTGTCGGGCCCATGCCGAATATGGAGCATATTCATTCATTCGAATGTGAATCGAGAGCGACAGCTCCAACTAACCATTCTTTGGGATCCATTTTGTGCTCTGACTTTGAGCCAACATTTATCTATTGTACAGCCCGCATTCATTAACAGTTCAGAGGCACTTCAAAGCTACATTTTATATATATAGATGAATGGATGGATACATGGATTGATGGTCTTGGATTTGAATTGGAATTGTGAATGTGAATGTGGGTGTGATTGTGATTGTGATTGTTTGTGCTTAGCCCGTTTTTACACTGCCCTCTTACGAGTGCTCGCATTTGGCGTTAAAATTTAAAATACTATTAATGAGAGTTATCTTTGGGGTCTCTGGGTAATTGTGTTTTGTTTTTGTAGATAGCTGCCGGGGTGGGAAAAAACTGTGGCACATACAAATGGAGTAATTAAATGCACTGCTCGAATGATAAGCGGTGAAACAATACAACTGAATGGAATAGAATGAAACGGAATGCCTAATGAGTTGGAGATTGCAGATCTTTCTATAGTCCAAGATGGCAGCGAATGGAATATTTCGTCGAGGAGAACTAGGCCTAGGAATGAATAGAATGCAATTTGTAACAAAGGCACAATGAAGTTGTATTCATTATATAAACGAATATGTATACATTTATTTATTTAAAAACGCTCCGACGAGAAGTGTCACAGGACTGGCAAATGATGCCTTAATCTGATTAAATGTCACTCCAAGGCCAACTAAATGCCACTAATCATGACTAAGTGTGTGCTCACAAAACAAGCGAATGCTTTCAAAGCCATATCTCAGTACATACAATGTGTATTTGTCGTTGGGTATCAGATGGGAAAAGGTTCCGCACTGAAATGATTGGGCTAATTAATAGGTAAAACAAGTCTAAATTGAACTTGTTCACTTGTTTGTCTTCTACTATTTTGCTTTGAACCGACAATTAAGCAAACGTTTATGTACGTGATTTACGGTGTTTGCATATAAAGTAACAAAGTTAACTATTTGTCTGAATAAGTAATTATCGGCAGACACCAATGCTCCTTCCATAAACCATTGATGAATATTTATTTCAGGTATTTTCTTAGATGAGTGCAAAGCATATGATGAATCGAACAGAATGATTCTCTAATTCGAAATCAGTCATTTGGCACTTCTCCTTGATCCGCTCTCCGCAATCCACTCGATTGCTGAATGGAAGTCAAGTATTCCCCAGGCTGACAAAGTAATGCCCCACACAACATCATTCCACACGGCACACTCGGCTGATGATGATGATGATGACCTGGATCTATCGTACGAGTACAAGACAAAGTCAAGTCGAAGTCAACCACTGTCCCACTATCCACTAGCCACCACATACGGAACACCTTATCTTCTTTCACTTGTGAGCTTCACCTACATAAAAAAGGCCAGCCACACCACACCGTCGGACCCACGGAGCCACGGAGCCACGGACTCGCGGTGCCAGTAGGAGAGGAGTATCAAAAGTGATCATAAATCTTTATAACCTGTATGGGGAGATTTTCACCAGGCTTTTCGGGGCACTCTGCCCCCCAGACCCACAGGAGAAAGAGTGTACTCTCGTAAAAAGTGAATTTTTGCCCGCAATCCACGCAATCCGCTCGCTCCACTTCAGCAGCCTCAGCCTCCACTTTAGATTACTTTTTTTTTTTGTTTTTTGACTTTGGTTTTGTTTTTCCTTCTCAGATGACTTTTGTACTCTTTTGTTTTTTGTTTTGTTGTGTTTTTTTTTTTTTGCGCTCGCACTTGGCCTTAATTGCGGCGCATGCGCGCGCACTTTCAATTCCTTTCGGACTCGGAATCGGTATCAGAGGCGGAGACGCAGACGGAGCAGCAGAGAGCGGAGAAACAAAGAAAATATTATAAAAAACAAAAAATAATAATAATAATCGTGTGGCAAATTGTTGGCAGAGCCAGAAATTAGATTCAAAGCGCGGCAATAATGATGCGGCACAGAGTCTAATAATAATTTTTCCAGCCACGGTACGGGGGAGGGACAAGCCCAAACCGAAAATTGCTCTGAAGCGTACTGAAGCGGAATTGAGGCTTGAGACATGTATGTGGCTTGAGAGGACCAGTCCAGAGACAGCGGAAAGTTCATGGCTAACAACAAAAAACAAGGAAGAAATAAAGTAATGCTAAATACTCTGCCATCGAGGGTATATACATTTGCCTAGAGATTTCTCAATTCATTTCGGACTAATTTCCAAGTTTTCAACTGATGCTGCACCGAGGGTAGTCACGATTTCGTGAATCGATTAATTATTTATTCTAGAGATTTGAGTGTATATAAGAATTGGTCCCCATATTGAGCCCCAAGGCCAAGGCTACCGCGAGCTCCTTCTAGGGTATTCTGCAGGCCCAAAAAAGTGAGCAAACGAATGAATAAAAGAGACAGAGGAGAGTCACATATTTCTAGAGGCTGACCAGAGCAGCGCGGCAATGTCTTTTTTTTTGTGCTGTTTTTTTATATTTTATCATTTTTCTTTTTCGTTTTTTTTAGTTTTGCTTTTTTTTTGCTACTTGGACCAACAGGTTCGCTCGTTCGTGGTGGTGGCTCGATGTTGAGAAAAAGTCAAACGGCTCAATAATCGAAGACGGTTCGGGGCTGAAGCTGGAACTGAGGTTTGGTGGTGCTCTGGGGCTGAGGCTGAGGCTGAGACTGGGGCTGACTCCAACTTCAACTTCAGAGTCCGGATAAATGAGGACAACAACAGCGACAACTTTAATGAGGTTACATCTAGGTATATGTAGGTATGTATGATTGTGTGTGTGTCTTTCTGTTTATGTTCGATTATTTTCGAATGCAATTCCAAATAAAATCGAAACTCAAACATCTTAAAGTAATGACTTGTTTGCTTACCTCTTCCTCTCCACTCGTCACCCCTCGTTTTGAGTGCCTTGTAAATATTTGTTCGAAATTCTTGTTGCTGGACTTTTGCTGTTTGTTGTTTTTCAAAAAAACTAAGGGCGCAATAAACCCTTAGCTCTGCATGAACTTTGCTCGAGTGTTGCACTATTTTTCACACTTACACAACAACCACAAAAAAATATCGCTTAGAGATTACAAAAAAAAAGGTGTACAAAAAATTAGGGAAAAACAAAAAGCCGTTGCACGCCAGCGCTTTCAAATTGTATTCCAGAGAGTCTTTTGCGCATACGCAGCGCCGACTTCGACTTGGACTTTCACGTACGAGCGCTCAAAGCAAACTTATCCATGGTGCCCGTGGACCGAGCCAGAGCCAGAGCCGAACCGAACCGAGACGAGCGAGCCGCCGGGTGGGTAGCGCAGTGCATGGTATAAATATGAGAGGGTATTCCATCGTGCTCTTCGGTGGAGTAAGCTTTTGGCCAGCCTCTTGGCGTCTAGCTTTGGGAGCGCGCTCGCTGAGATTGTCCATACCTGGCGCAGGCACAGAGAGCAGTAGCTGTGAGAGAGCAGCACTAGCAGCTGCAGAATCACCTGTGAGAGAGCGGCAGCAGCAGCAGCGGCAGTGGGAGAGCGGCAGCAGCAATAGTAGGAATAAGAGAGCAGGCAGGCAGCAGGTAGCACCAGTGGGAGAGCAGCGGCTGTGATTCCACGGCAACTGGGATTGCGCCTCCCTCCCATTTTGGGGCCGACGATCGGTGTTGATCGGTTAGCTATTTTGCCGCTATACTGCAAACAGTAATAAATATATTTAAAGCTTTATGGGGATCATGGGCTTGCCGGTCCTAAAGAGCGTTCCCCTGTTGATGCTTAGGGGAGCTGCTTGCTTGGCGAAAAAATGCGGTTTATGGCCCCACTTGTACTGCCAAATTTCTTTGACTTTTCCCATGCAGAAACAAGTGCTTAACTTTTCAGCTAAGACATCACTGAAGCGGCAGTCATTGTCGCTGATTGTCCTGCTTTGACAGGGTTGCCACAGCGCTGCAATTACGCAGCTGATTTGACCGCAGCAGCAGCAGCAACAGCGGCGGCAACTACGGGGCTAATTTCCTCTAATTTTGCGGTATTTTCCCATATGGGCTGGACCAGGGAATGGCCAGAGATGGCTACCTGTTGCATGTTGTTGTAGTTCTCGCAGCAGACACGCGCACCTGTAATGGCCATCCGTCCGCAAATTGACCCATAAAATGGTAACGTTGCTTGGGCCATGATGGATTAACTGTCCATATATCATCGTAGAGACATTATCCGACCACAGTGGCAAAAGAGGCCAGCACGGGGAAACAGAGTGCAACAAGCCTGCAAAATGCGAATACGAGTATCCAAGTACATACATACATATGCATGTACATATTTATGTACAAGCCAGCAATACATAAATAACCATCCATCCAGCAGCAGTGCTGCTGCTGCTTTTGCTGCCTTGTATGTTCGTACACCCCTCGATCGTGTCGATCTTATGTCTTCGATTTGCATGACAAGTAGCCGGGAAGTTGAAGTTGTAGAAGTCGAACTGAAGTATATGCAAAGTCTCTATGTACCGGCAGCAGCAGCAGCAGCAGCAGCAGCTGGTTTATGAATCTAAAACATGCGATATCCGATCACAGCGATCGCCACTCCACACAGCACACAGTGCCAGGCAATCCTCTCTCAAGGCTGTCTCTCCCGCCATTGGGTGCCATTAGCTTATTAGTTGCGATTAACCCTAGACTAGCGAACTTTTCTCGTTCGTGGGTCATTCGTTTTCTTAACAGAAAAGTACCCAAAGCATTGGTTTATTCTCTCAAATAGGTTCTTAATGATGATCACACTTTTTTATCCCTGTAATGATCCATAGACAACCCTCGATCAATGCTAGTCCATTACCCATTGTGCACGCTGAAGGAGAGTATTAGGAAAGATCTGCATCGTCTTGGTACTTCAACCCATAATGATCCATGAATAATCCAATGTCTTTATTCAACGGAATGTACACATTTATTAGAATTCTATTTATGAGCCACAGAGTAATTTCAGTTTCTTTAATGTGTGTATTCCTGCGACTCATTACGAGTCTTAACCACTAGAGGCTAAAGATTGTTTCTTGGTTGTGGCGTATAGATTTTTCGTAAATAATTTGTGTAGTAACTTTAACTGGCAGCAGTCCTGAAAGTACCAAATATCAAGAGCCGCCGATGTGTCTTTACAAAGAAGTTGAAATAGCAGTTCAGGGGCCTCCTCCGCCAGTTTCCTCCTTAAGGAATATTTTCCCAAATAATAAACAATAAGTAGAACTAGAGCTTCCCATCAGCGCTCTAAAAAAAGAACAAATCAATAAGAAGTTTGTTATGTGATTAACATTGTCTTTGTCTTTACAAACAAGTGTAGATAGCAGTTCAGGGGCCTCCTCCGCCAGTTTCCTCCTTAAGGAATATTTTCCCAAATAATAAACAATAAGTAGAACTAGAGCTTCCCATCAGCGCTTTTAAAAAAAGAACAAATCAATAAGAAGTTTGTTATGTGATTAACATTGCATATCTAAAGCATACCCAATAGTTTTCTGGATGTTCCTTCAGAGTCTTTACCTTGGATGCAAAAGTACCAAGGCTCGTCTAAGCACGGGACATCTCAGGGATCGTAATGGGTAGAAAAATGGAACACAAACTAATGGTTGCAGCATAACCATAGCATAACGGCAGGTTTGATATTTCCAGATCGTATATTGAACATCGTGTTAACTGGTGTTCAGATTAATAATAACTCGAACTAATTGCTGGAGCAGCGGCTCTGTGAAAATTATTTTAAAATATTGTTTTCCGCAGTGACATATTTCTCTGTACTCACCCTAAAGTATTCGTAAATCGTCCAACAGAGTCTTTACCAAGGATCTAACATCGAAGGCTTTTCTTTAACGTTTTGCCAACTCAGATCGTGTATAAAGTGTTGTAATTACAAAAAAAAAATAACTTATTGTCACATCATAACTAGGGGGCAGGTTTCACGACCTGCGAAATGTTAGGGTATTGCATAGTGTATATTGTGGAATGTCAGAGCTTCCAAGCTTTTCTTGGTGATTGCCAAGCTTCTATAGATGCTACTTTTCCTTCACTTCGAAGGTCTTGTAGGTGTAGTCATCGATGGCCTTGAGGTTCTTGATGATGAACTCCTTGACGGCAGCCACGTATTCGGCGGCCGAAACGACTAGTTGCTTGAAGGCCTCGATGACACGGCCCTCACCCTGCAGTTGACCCTTGAAGCACTCCTCAGAGACCTGGGTGATGTAGCCGCGCAATCCCAGGATCTTGGCCTGGGCCGCAGCGAATATCTCGAACGCCTCCTTAGGGATTTTTCCCTTAATTTCAAAGTCGCAAGTCATGATCTTCTTGGTATCATCATTGGCTTTGGACATCTTACAGGAATTTTGATTTTTATTTCAAAATGGAATTTTGGGTGAAAAAAAAAAATTTAGAAAAATAATTTGGAAACTAAAACTGATGCTTAGGGCGCTGCTCTCAAACAAGTAATGAGCCGAACAGGTCTAACGTTTTCCTACAGCCTACTTTTCGAAGTGTTTTCAGTCGAATCCCAAATAAAAAAAGTCATGACCTCCTGTGACTCTGACCCTCAAATTCAAGTTCGAGGCTTGCGGGTAATGGCAGCCAATTATGACAGAAGAAGATCATAATTCCCAACCAAAATACACACTCCTCAGAGGTCGCAATGTAGATTAGGAAATGTTTGTGCATTTAGTGGAGCAAAAAATCAAACAAAATAAATATAAAATCACAACTCTGTTTTACATAAGTCTTCGGTGGGTTGGTTGGTTGAGGGGCGAGGGCCTGCATCTGTATCCCAGTATCTCAAAAGCGATTTATCTCAACTTGATTTTTTCTAGGCTCTTCCGCCAAGACCGGCACCACCGTGCGTCTATTTTGCGGTTGTTGTGGTTGTGTTTTTGTTTTGTTTTATATCATTTTTTCGCATAGTTGTCATGGGGTAGATGGGATAAGAAATAATTAGAAATTAAGTAAATTGCTTAATTATAATAGGCCCGCAACATGAGTGAGTAGCAACAACAGGCCAACAGACAAACGAGAAGGGAAAGGGCACACAGCACCATCTCCAAGCAGCGAATTTGGAATACCCTTTAAATTCGATGAAATATGATGGATGTCAAGCAGCACAATTTACAATTTGAAATATCCTAATGTCAACAGTAGCACTCTGTCTACAACGAAATATCTAATTCCCAACGAAAACTTTTCCTAGTTTTTAGTCAATTTTTGCTAAGAGATTTCTGAAACAAAATCGAACAACAACAGACAGTCGAAGCGTACAAAACAGCGAACACAAATGAAGATGCTAGAAAACCAATGCCATGAGTATTTCAATTCTAGACAATATAAAGAATCAAAAATATATAGAGAATATTCTTGCTACCCGAACTGTTTGATATTTCATAGGGCATGGCAGCCTGTATTCGTACACCCCATCTTGGTGAATGAATTGACACTCTTTGGACAGCTGCCATCCCTTTAAGTTTGAAACAGTTGAGAAAGTTCAGCCTCTGCCAGGGTTCAGGTTCGCTTTGGCAACAGTTGGCACGTGAGGGCCAGAGAAGAGTCTCTGGTCTTTCCCAAGAAACACTCTCGTGTGTGGCTGAGCCATGCCCCTCGTGCTCGCAATTATGGGCAATTTTCTGTGGGAAGCGAGGAGCGGGGCAATTATGATGATATAAAAAGACATGACCAGCAGATGTTGTGTGTGTGTGTTTAGCATAATGTACTATACGAAGACAGATAAATGTTGTATGTGTGCATATATTTAATGGATTCCGGTAAATAATTTGATATTCAGTTTGTTGCAAGAGAATAATGCCCTTTGTTCGTTACACTTGGTATACTTGTAGAATGATTCTGATTCTGATTCCGATTCTGATTCTGATTCGTGCGTATCTGAGATAAGCTTAAGTGCTACATAAATGGGATAGATATTCTTGTATACATACATATAAATATAATGGTATCAAAAACAAAAAAAAAAGGTTACACGGGGAGTGGGTAGATACATATACATAGATTCATTTTTCACTCTTCTCAGCGCATTTACGACGATCCACACAGAAGCCATGAGAATTTTAGACAACACACGACGACGAAGCGTGTTTATGGATGCTTAAGTGATTGGTTGGTTGGTTGGTTGGTTGGTTGGGCAGAATGAGAGAATCAACTCTTTACGTTCGGCAGATGGAGAGGGTGTCCAGCAGGAAGACAGCGCCGTTGATGATCATCAGGGAGCCAGCGGCAATGGCATTGCGCTTCCTATCCTTCTGCAGCACGGCATCATGCCACTCATCGATGACCAGAGCACCAGAGGCCACAAACAGAATGCAGCCGATCAGCGAGATCAAGGCATTGAGGCGCTTCTCCACCAGAGAGTTGATCACATGACCTGCAACAGAAAATACATATAAATACGGGGTTGGGGTTTATATTCAGTGATCCAACGATCCGTGGCTAATCACAGTCACAACAACAGAACAAAACAAAACACTCACCGATCAGCAGAACGCCGCAGATGATCGTGAAGCCGCCGATGGTGCCGCAAACGATCAGGGGACGGGATGAGAGGGCACCATCCACCTCGTACATCACAATGCAGGCAATGGCGATGGCCTGTGGGAACAGAACAGAACAGAACAGAACAGATAGATGAGAAAGATCGTTAGAAGATTGCTGGAAAACGGTGCAAAAATTAGTCTCGGGTTCCTGGTTAGTTTTATTGTTGCAGTCCGTTAAAACAATTCTCTGGCAATTGATTGGAACTGGATTTTATTTGATCAGGCATTCAGCACTACAAAGGTATCCCCCACAAAGATGGCGCCGTTGGTCAAACAGAATATTGCCGCTACCAGGACACTGTTCTTGTCGCTGTCCTTTTCATAGGCGTCCAGCCAGCGGTCGAGGATGACGGCCCCACTGGCTATAAAGAGGATCACGGCGGCCACCGAGAACAGGACATCGATGCGCTTGTCAATGTTCGCTCCCACCAGATGACCTGAAAGACGGATCGGTACCGATTCAACAGATTGACAGCTGGACTCGCGGACTCAAGGACTTTGTCCATTACCAAGGCCCAGTGTGGTACAGATGATCGCGTAGCCGGTGAGGGTGCCGCACACCAGCATTGCCTGACTGCTGTATCTGTGGTCCCCCACGCTCTCGATCAGTACGATGCTCGTGGCGGTGAAGGCCTGTGTTCGGGAAAGGGTTTCGTTCTCAGTATCTGAGTACTCGATTAGGCACAGGCACGGACATACTGATAGGTAGACAGACAGACAGACGTAGGAACGGTGACAGGAGACAGGCGGATAGATTTCTCAGAAAGTTAGATCAAATATTTCAAACTACTCCTCCACAAGGAGGATTTAATAATAAATATCCCTCAAACTCATGTGCCACTCTCACTAGTGTCAATCCCAGTTGATTCCCTTTGTGAAAGCTTCACGAGAATCGATTGATAAATTGTAGTGCGTCATGCATTTAATGGGTTGTAATTTGGGCCATATGCTCTAGTTCATGGTTCAGGGTGTGAACAGGACAGGAAATTAGGCCATAAACAGACACTTACCCTAATGGCGGGACGGGCAGTCTTTAAAAGTGTTTAAAACTGGGCTAAAAGGGAGCAACATCTGGCCGCATTATGCCAATGCATGACCTGACATGTCTTGTGGGGGAAGTGCTCCGTTTCCATTGATCAATGCCGACATTTAATTGTTAATCTGAAAGGCCAGCTCAAGTGGCTGTCATTGTGAGGTGCCGCTTCATGTCATGGCTCCCATTCATCATATATCATCATCGAGGAATTGCAAGCAAAGTAGCAGAAAAGCCCCACACGAGTGGACGACGCCAATTTGCTTATCAAGTATGAAAATTATTTCGATATTGATGGGCGATAAATGTGGTAGCGATATGGCGTGTCGAGTGCCTGATTGGGGAGGAGCTATTTAGAGGCGAGGAAGCTATTTAAGTCAAAGTGTCAACAGTGGGCACACCCTACAGCGACCATCAATCAATTAGGAGAGGCTGCCGCTAATTGGTTTGTCCTTCCATCCTTGGTGTGCCCAGGATGCAGCCTCAAAGTATTATGTTGATTTTGTAATGCAAGGAGACAGACCCAAGAGGTCGTTAGTGGAGAATATTCCCTGAAATGGGAGTGTATCCCACCCATATACACATTTCCATATTCCGCATATTCCCATATCTCTATTTGCTCGCTGCTGGCCTCGTGCATTAGCCATAACAAATATCATTTGGTGTATGGGTTGTGAATGCGGCATAGTATCTCCCGCGTATATTTGTATCTACATGTAGACTTTCCGCCACTTTTCCCGAGTCAGCAAACACCAAGCAGCACACACAGTTCAGCACAGCAATTATGTGTGTCAATAATTACCGAATGTTTGCACTCGCCTCCCACTTTCATACATCATATATCTATCAGATATCTTTTATATATCTTTATGCTTCTATATTTGCTGTGCCATTCCTTATAATTTAATTGCCACGCCCATAAATCGTGACGGGGGGGCACGACGGTGGCCCCATAAATATGACATTAATTCCCCCCCGAAAATATATAATGGAAAAGTGTTGGGTAAACAAATGATATTTATGGACAAACGTAGCGGAAGGAGGAAGTACACTCTGTCCATTAGGAATAGTTTCTGCAACAGATGTGGCAAGAATCACTGCTTGGGGGCCATTCAATTTGCAGGCAGTTTAGATTCAATTGCAGAGCAAAGAAAATGCAAATAAAATCTGTAATCTGTTTGCCAACTTCTGTTGCAAATTCCATTTTTCCAGCATCCGCTCTAAATTCATTTTGTTCTGTGTGTTTTGCATGAATGAAAACGTAAACGTTTCACTATATATTTATTTATATATTGTTTAATCTCGAATATGACTAAGAATTGTTTACATTGTGGCCTGCCATTTATTGTGTCCATTGCCCAGCGTATAGCAAAAACACCACTTGATTCGGGGTCAAGGGGAAACCCTCTGCACGAAATATTAACCCAAAAGTAAATAGAGCCCCAGACAGGGAAACGAACCCTCCAAGCATTTACCATTTACCATTTACCACGTTTACATGTGGAGCCCACATGCAAAGCCCATAGATCAATTTTATTTCCCCAATTCCAATTGATATTGCCATTCATTATACTCGCACGGAGCACCTGACAGGCCAACGAGGCCTGCCAGAAGGCAGAGACAACGCAGGGTCTTGGCCAGCTCGAAAGCAGTTCAACAAAAATTCTAGAAAAAAATATACAAAAATCCCAATATATCTGGCAGAAGCGAAGGCACAGATTTGCAGCAGCTAAAACATTTATTAGCTCGTAAATATATTTACGACTGGCGTTGCAAGCTGAGTTCGTTCGGATGCGGATGCGGATGCGGGTGCGGGTGCGGGTACGGGTACGGGGCCGCCACCTCTTATCTTGTGAACTATTTTTTATTTCACTTTATTTGCTCCCATGACCAAGGCCAGCGGTGTGAGACAAGTATTGGCCACACACCAGAACGTGCAGCCTGTGGGATCAGGATGAGTAATCTGATAGATAGACAGATAGTTAGATGAATAGATAATGAGGGGGAACAGAATGGCCGGCCTTTGGGCCATTAGCTATTAGATATTCCCAGGGCGTTCTGTTTTTTTTTATGAGTCGCCGACTGTTTGGTTGTTGTTTACTCAATGCAATCCGCCCGGCGCGGCCAGTCGACCTTTACACGGATCGCACATGGCGGTATGCGTATGCGTAATGTTCTCTGGCATTTTTTGTTGTTTTGTTTTTTACTTTTTGGCCATGTGAGTGTGATGACATCATGTGTAGTTGTTGCTGCCCAATCCGGGGTCTGGTTCGGATTAGTCAGTGCAATAGCCAAATGAAACGTGATCGCGGCACTCCATTCAGCTTTGAGCTGCGGCACTGCGGCACTGCGGTTCTGTGGGTGTGGCAGGGACGGGAGAGATGTACATGACCCGCATTACAACAAATTACGAGTACGCGCCTCAAGTGGGTCGTCGTCACTCGGTTGATGGGATTAATGTGTGTGGATATAATCATCAGAAAAAGTGGCATTCAAAGCGGCGAGCAGATCGCAGATTCAATGCTGGAATATTTGAGAAGGCAAGCAGATGGCAGACCTTAGAGCCACTCATTTGAATGTAGATCTTTCAAAACTGAATACGAATAAAGTGCCCTTCGGTTGGCATGTCGATTTTTCTGGGTGCAAAAGAATTTCGTTATTCGTAATAACTTCTTTCTGGCAATGCATATAGAAAATACTCAGTAAGTATGTCTGCCCTGATCAACGCTTTGACTCACTCATCCGTTTGCCTGATAACAGATGAAAGTAAATAAACAAGTCAAAGTCGGCGGGTCGAAGCAGATGTCTCAGCATTGCAAATATAAGTGCTCTCACTCGTACTCGTGTTCACATAATGAATAATATAGCAAATAAACGAATGATGGCCGTACTTCAGCAAGCAAAATCATTTCAAATCTATCTCTGCACTTCAAACAGTTTTCAATTTTCTGTAAAAACATGCTGATAAAAGGAAGTAGGACAGGGATATGCTGGAAAATTCCTAGTTTCAGTTATAAGTTCTACTTAATTGCTCTCAACCAGTAAGCAGTTCAATCAGTGTCCCATGTGTCCAGTTCCATAGAACTGGCTTAGGGAATGCCTCTACTCTGCCCATTAATCGCACGCAGAATCTTTATAATATGATGTCATATAATGATTAATGAGTGAATGCGATGGATCCATCGTTTAATTGGGGTTCTGAGAAAATTGAGCTTGACCACGAACGCAATTCACAATTTCGCAAAATAAAAATAATGGAAATGCTTTGACAGTCAGGGGGAAAATTTCCATATAAGTATAATTTCACATATAAACACACCTGGCCAATTAACAAAACAATTTGAATTGAGTTAAAGAACCAGACAATGGAAATAAATAGAAAAGAATGAACTGCCCTCCCTCCCCCCAGAACATATCGGATCGGATGAGTGGCAGAAAGCGAGTCCAAGTGCGAGGCAGCGTGGGTGACATCATATCGCAGAAGATCATCAGTGGAATCCGCCCATTCTAAGCGCCATTCCGCTTCTGCCAGCGGAAGACAAATCGAGTTCTCTCTCATCTCTCGCCTTCTCTTGTGTCGTCCCAGGGGCAGGCATGACCGAATGTTATACTAGGCTTTACGTAGCAATTCATCTAAGCCGATGACATCACCGGTCTACGGGCTGAGTACAAAGGAACCCAAACCACCGCTGCTCCACTCACACCGAAACAACGCGACCCAAGAGCACGCATTAACCAAACAACTACGCAATAACTCCAAACAACAACAAAAAAGACAAAAGGAGATACAAAACTTTAAATTCGTTGAAGGAAATGCCTGCGCTTTGAAGGCCGAAGCTGGGAATACACTTCGCAGACTACGACTGGGAGAGTAGATCTGCCAACAGTGAGATATATGCATGGAATTTGAGAGCTATTTCAGTTTCAAAATTATACATGTACAACGAATTTTAGAGCCACAATATTACAAGAACAGAATTACAATTTTGATTACTTGCTCCAAAAATATTCTACGATTTTAAATTTTAAATTTTCTATGGAACTTTAATGAATAATAGGCCAAGATTTATATTGAAATAAAGAAGTATCAGTCGTAGAAACAACAGAAAATATGGGATCTAATATCTGGAGTTCGCAATTCGAGGGCAAACTTTATAAAGTGACAAATGTTTGTGGCGAAACCTTTAACATGTAGTACCCTCCTCTGCACAGAGTATGTACAATGAAGTCATGGGATTTGTTTTGGTCCAGAAGAATACAAAAGAGGGGGAACCGGTTCTGTTGCTGGCGTTTGTTCTGTTTGCATCCAAGGCCAGGGATGAAATTGTAAACGAAAGACAGGTTATAAAGCGCACAGCACACGGCACAGGAAGGAACGAAACTTAGAGATACAGATACAATGCACAACACACTCACAAATAGAAATTTTGGAAAAAAAATATAGAAAACAGAATATTTGGGGCTGCTCACCAGCTCAATGATTTTCAGCAGCAGACGATTGTTGAACTCCATGGCGATCGATTCGGTTCGATATGAGATGCAAATGTAGCTGAACTTAGGATCGGTTCAATTGGGATTGTATCTCGCAGTGTGCTGGGTATGGGTTTGAAAGTGCGTGTTGTTTTCACGGCGTACGCAAACGAAGTGACGAAAGCTTTGCCGCCACTCGCATCCAAAGCTCGGGCAAGCGACAGCAACAGCGCTGGCGTCAGCGTTAGCGCAGGCAGTGGCAGTGGCAGCGCCAGCGGCAGCGACACAGCCTCGAAACGCGTCAGCAACAGCAGACGAAGAGAACGGAGATGGTATCAGAGAGTTAGCCTTTGCTGGCCGACACGCCATTAGCAGGTTCCAGCTCACATCGAAAGGATACACTGTGAGCGGGCAGTGGGAGACGCAGTACAACACAAAAAGAAAAAATGCATGGCTGCTTAAGTAGTTACAGAAATGATTTAATTCCATGTTACGAACTTTTTGAAGCCCAAATACATTTTAGTACATTATAGAATCCGCATAGGACTTATATTATTAGGCTCAATTTGGGTTCATTGTGTAGTGTTCAAAAGTGACAAAAATGATTCCGTTCGGGGAAATGGTACGTTATAAAAATATGCTTGAAGAAAGAATATATTTGGAGGATAACAACATATTGCTTACATAGGCATAGACCTGTAAGGGAGCATTGTGTATCATTTTCGGAGCCATAGTAGCCATCTGCCTCCCTAAGAGTTGAAGAAATTATAATAGCACCTGGGACTTTAACGCAAATAAAAAACCTTTAGAGGGATAAGTTTCTAGGAAAATTTGCATTTGAAAGACAATTTGAATTGATTTGAACTTGATCTTCCAATTATATCCATTCCATTATATCAAGTTAAAATAACTTATCCAATTTATATGATTTTATTTTTTATGGTAACATTTTTGTAATCAATTAAATGGAAATTTGTTTTCAAAATATAATTAAAGACGGGTGGCTAAAACAATGAATTCTTGATAATGATCTATGCCACAACAAAATTGAAATGAAATCATTTTCAACCTTAAAGAGAGCCACAGAATATTCCAAAAAATCACTTTCACTTAGAAAACTATTTAATAACTGTAATATTTGCCAAAAAATGTTGTAGGGATCTTCATCTTAAGCTAAAACTAATTTTAAACACTTTTGTGTTGCACAATCAATAGCAGAATATTATAAAATTAATTATATAACAAGGGCCAAGTCGAGGAAATCTCAATATACAGATTACAACAAATATAAAAGGTTCACTTTATAGACTTACTAGTCCTTAGTCCTTACTTATGCCTAGTCGATGATTTCTTAGCCAACGAGTGCAGCGCCTACATAGGCCAGGGCACGCTCCGCCTCGAAGGCGGGCACGTACCGGGGCTCCAGGGTGGTGAGTGCGCGCTGGGTGAGCAGGGACAGGTTCTTGGTTTCGCCATGGTCCCGCTCAAAGGTAAGATACTCCACCCAGACACTGGGCTCCGTTTTGCCAAAGTAAACGGCCATGAACTCGTAACACATGCGCCAGTACTTGATAGCCGCCTTGTCCTGCAGAGAGAGGGAGGAACAAACAATTATATATAGACCTGGGCATAAAATGGTTTACATACGCGCACTGCCAGGCTGCTCTCGAGCTGGGCCATCGTGCGATGCAGCTGCAGGGACATGGGCGGCTGTAGGGCCAGCTTGGCGTATTCCGTGCGCGCTGCATCGACGGACTCTGCATGCCACAGATACCGCAAATAGTCGGAGCGCAGCTCGGAGAAGCTCGGCCAGGTGGAGGCTGTGGCTATCTTGTAGATATCTTCCAGTCGCTTCCTGCCGAGGCTATCCTGACGTGTACGATAATAGAGGATGACCATCTGCCACAGCGGCAGGGCTTCGGGGCCCATGGTCCTTTGGAATTTGTTGAACATCTCATGGATCAGCGACTCGCTGTCATTCTGCACGTGCGTGCCCAACAGCAACTGGTGCATCTCCACCGATGCATCGTTCTTGAGGGCCTCCGTAAGAATGGTAACAGCGGCTTCTCGCCCGCTCGGCGCACTGCTGAGCATTTTCCTCAGGATGGCATAGTGCCGCACGTGCATCAGCTTCGAGCGATGGCCATCCTGCAGGGCATCGGCCAGGCACTGCTGCTTGAGGGCTCGTTCCGCTTTTCCGTCGCTGTTTAGAGCGAGCATGGCATCCAGATAGAGAGTCCACATATCCTGTGTCTGCAGCACCTCCACGGCCGACTTGTAGACGGTCACGCACAGCTGAATGCGGCGCTTTAGGGAGCGGGTATTGGGGGCAGAACGAGACTTCTTGCTGGCTGGTTCCTCCTCATTGTTGTCTGGCTCCTCATCTGCGTCTCCGAGATGGTAGCCACGCAGCTCACGTTGCGCCGCCAAATCCCAGAGGCCAGGCTCGCGCGGGAACTTCTCCTGCATGTCATCGATGATGAGACGCTGCAGCTTGAGGGTTATCTCGTGGTGATCCTCGCAGCTCTCCAGCAGCTTCACAAAGTAGTCCAAACTCGTAATGTTTTCCATGCTGTTGCGATAGACGGCCTCCACCCGCTCCAGTTTTATGTCCTGCTCGGACAGAGTGTTGTCAGCGAGATTTTTCTCAGGATCTGCACGAGCTGCCTCCTTTAGCAGAATGTCGAAGAAGCATTTGTTGAGTGCCTCCGAGTCAGGATGACGCTGCAGGCCACGAAGCAGAATGTCCTTCACGCGATCTATATTAAGGCGGTTGTATTCGTAGAGCCACAGGGCAGCGTCCACCCAAAAGTTCGGATCATCGCCATGGTACTAAGAGGAAGTTGAGCACTATAGTTGATGTTTTTGAAGTGTCGATTGAATCCTTACCAGCAGCATCTTCTCATATATGCCTGCGACCTCCTGTGGACCCGACTTTTTGCTAAACTTGATCCAATTGCTCCACAGGCGTCTGTCGTGGGTGAACTTGCTCAACACTTCCCTGTAGAGACGCATGATGCGTATGGATATGGAGTTCTTCAGGCCGGTCAGCTTTATGTGCATCATCTTCTCCTTATCGGAGAGTGTCTTGTACATTTGCTTCTCGTAGACAATGAACTCTAGATAATCGCCGACAGCCAGGTGGCTTTTAGTTATCTTCAGGAATAAACGCTCCCGCCTGCTCACTATTTCTCTGGAAGCAAATCAGCAACAGGATGAATTCAAGGGCCTGTGGGTCAGTGGTGATTTCTAGGCGCTTACCTGACTTGATCCGGCGTGAAGACGTTGTAGTGCTTCATCTGCTCGTACTCCGGCAGCAGGCGCTCCTGCATTTCAGCTATAAACTCGCCCATCTTGGTTGGTTTTTGTTTATTTTTTTTAAAATAATTAATTTAATTTAATTAATTTAGTTTAATTGAATTCATTAATTTAATTTAATTAATTTAAATTTGTTTATTTCAATGCAAACAAACGCACGTGCAACAGCGACCATCGATAATCAAACTATCGAAATGCTGAATTCATCGCAAACTGCAATCGATGACTGTATCCAATAGAAAATAAATATTAATTTCAAATACATTTGTTACGAAATACCAAAACAAACGATAATTCAAAAAAACTACAGCGGACTTTACTCTACATCTAACGGACAATCATCTCTTAGACACAGACGTGGACAAGTCTGAGGTGCCGATGGTCTTCCTCCTACGTATCCTATCTGAAATCCGACTCAGAATAAATCAGATCTCCTGCCCAAGTGTAGCGGCCTTTCTCCATCTCGTAGTTGCGTAGTTGCCCCTTTCCCACCATACTAAACACACTAGCACTTCATTTTAAACGTTATAATATGTAACTCAAAAACTTAATACATACTTAACTATAAATCCCTATACTAATGTTTCGTTGCGCGTCCGCCTATTCCCGCCTCTTCAAATATAAATACATATACTACATTAACGGGACGGCTAATTAATTAAATATTATATTTAATATATATTTATGTATTATGTATGTATTTATTTATTAAATCGGGCTTCGTTGCTCCTAAGCAGGATGGCCCGCGCCCGGGCAGGGGTGAGACAGGGGATAGAATATACAGCCCATATATTTCGCCCATATACGGGAGACCAGCCGGTTCAATTAATCCCTATGGGTTTTAAAAATATTTAAGCTTGGATTCTTTCCCTTTGTACTGGACTCACTTTTTATTTAGATTAAAAAAAATAAGTCCTCTAGATTGTCCGTCCGGTCCGCTTGTTTCCTTTTTCCCGATTTGTTTGCTTCACGGTTGCACACACAAAACGCTTTAACACTGCCGATGTTTATTTTCCCACTACCGGCATGTTCAGCGTAGCTCCCTATGCAGTCTCTCTTGCTGCAGCTGATCCCATCTCTTTTATTGCCCTCGCACCAAGTTCAAGGGCATAGCATTGCATATTTGAGGGAGTGGGTGAGCTGGCTTGTGGATCCCGCAATGTTTTCGAGCCTCTCTTCTATTTTTCCCTTCTCACGCTCTATGGTACCATTTATCGCCTAGCCCCTGCGACTATCGACCTGCCAACCTCCAAAAAAAATACTGCTAAATCCAGTATTTTGCCGATCGATTTCCTTCTAATGCAACACATTTTAAATGTAAATATTTTCTTTTATATTGATGTATTTGTGAATTTTATTGAAAGAGCGGCTTAAGAAGCCGGCTCATGAAACATAATTTACTGCAATATTTTCTCGCTAAGGATGATAGATGGTTGCAACAATAACACCTTCGATTCACACATCGAAAACTTTTGAAATATTTTAGAAAATATAAAAACTGAAAAAATATTGAATTTGATCAATTCAATAATATATTTGTGTGGATAGTGTACTGTAAGATACTACTACAGTATTACTCAAAAAACATTGATCTATTGCACATATCGAAATCCAGCGATATTATCAAGGGCATGAAGCAACTATATTAGGAGGTCTCGTCGGAAAAAATTAGGAAAATGTGCGAGTGAAAGGGCTCTAGCTGTAAGTGTGAGTTGGCGAAGCCCTGCGGAACAGCATCAGCTTTCAGTCGCCTTCTTTTATATATCTGCCGTTCCTTTGGTGCCGACCTCCACTGTGAAGCATCGAAATGTGAATCGCAAATTTTCGAGTTCACAGTAAGGCTGCAGTCCAGACTTTGCTCCCACAATTTTCTCTTCTCTAAACATGAACCATAAACTGCACCAAATCATTTTTTGGCGCACATAAGGTGAACACTTGAACAAAAATGTTGTCGGCAACCAAACTTCCTTCGCCTTGCCGCGTCGACAACCACCCGAGCAATGAAGATTAGGAAAAGCGACGAGTAACTCTGCTGCCGACGAGACCTCCTAATATAGTTTCTTCATGGATATTATCAAGGGTGCCCTCGATGGTATTGTAGCCCCAACTCCCACATCACTATCCGTGCAAGCGACGCATAAACTAACTGCACAATTCAGCAGAAAAGCAAAATTACTTGCAACAATTGCCTCTCGTATCACACAAATGGCCGAATTTTCCGTAGAACGCGTAGAAGACAAACGATTGGTAAACGGTCGCACCGAATATTATTTAAAGTGGAAGGGCTATCCTCGCAGTGAAAATACTTGGGAGCCTGTGGAAAATCTTGATTGTCCCGACCTAATATCCACCTTTGAGGAGTCGTTGAAAACGAAGAAGGAACCCAAGAAGCGCGTAGCAACAGTCTCCACGCCAGAAAACATTCGTAGCAAGCGCAAATCATTCATGGAAGACGAAACCGAAGAGACCCGTAAGCTGATCGGGTTTGAGCGCGGTTTGGTGCCGTCAAAGATACTCGGCGCTACCGACTCTCTGGGCCAACTCATGTTCCTGATGAAGTGGAAGGGCAGCGATCATGCAGATCTGGTGTCTGCCAAAGTTGCCAACGAGCGCTGCCCACAGGTTGTGATTTCGTTCTACGAGGAGCGCCTCACCTGGCACACTGGAAATGGCAACGGCACTGGTGGCGCTGATGGCGACGGAATGGGCTGCAGCGGCTCTGGAACTGGCACTAACCCAGGCAGCGTCGAGACTCCTGGTGGCAGCACTGCAGGCGGACCAGACGAGGAGGAGGAAGAGGAGGTCGAGGCTGAGGCCGAACCGGAGGCAGAACCAGAAGCGGGGCCCGAGGTCGAGGCCAGTCCTGCCGACAGCACCAATAACGATGATAACCAGCTTGGAGTCGGTGATGCCGACGACTAAACCAATTCGAAATAATCTAGCATTGTATACAAAACATATACATAGAAATTAGTTTACCAATTAAGAAAGTGGATAGAAAAGCATCAAAAGCCGAGTCGATTAATCCATGTCTGTCTGTCCGTCCGTCCTGATGAGCGCCTAGTACTCAGAGATCATAAAATCTAGAGCCACCATCTTTAGCTTCCAGACTTCCATATGCTCACACTGTTACAGGTGTATTTCAAACATGAGCCCCGCCCCCGAAAAAGGGCAAAAACCTCCCAAATCTATAATTTTGAAGATAAAATTTCCGTAGGGAATGACCATATCTATCAGATCACCAAATTAGGATCCGATTGGATGATTATTATAGCCACAATGAAGGAATTTATTTGCAGTGGCTAATAATATATGTAGACGACAGATGAAGAAAAAATGTTAAATTTGACAAAACACCGCTAAGGTGCAGATGAAGTACTGAGTGCCGGGTATAAAAGTTGTGAAGCGTAAGAAGCGTCTCACACGTCCCTTCTCATTTTTTTTAATGCATAACTACATATAGTTTAACCAGTCTCACAAACTTAATATATATGTAAAATATCTCCCGTTGGGAATATGTTAGATATTCCCGGCAGTACTTGGGACTCGCAGAATGCGGCCCACAAATACCTAAACAAAATATAATGTTCTGTATTCGAATAAAATACAATTCACAAAATGTACGCATATCTCTCCCTCTATTGTTGTTCTTGTTTGTATACCCGGTACTCGAAGAGTAAATAGGGTATATTGTATTTGTGGACAAAGTATGTAACGCACAGAAGGAAACGTTTCCGACCCCATAAAGAATATGTATTCTTGATCAGCATCAAAAGCCGAGTCGATTGATCCACGTCTGTCTGTCCGTCCGTCCTGATGAGCGCCTAGTACTCAGAGAACATAAAATCTAGAGCCACCAAATTTGGCATCCAGGCTTCCATATGCTCACACTGTTACAAGTGTATTTCAAAAATGAGCCCCGCTCCCTTCCTCCCCAGCAAAAGGACGAAACCCTTACAAATCTACAATTTTGAAGATAAGAGAAAACTAAAAACGCCATTCCGTAGGGAATGACCATATCTATCAGATTACCAAATTGGGATCATTATTTTAGCCACAATGAAGAATTTAATTTCCAGTGGCTAAACCCACCCCGTCCCGCAGCTTATATTTGCTTTTTTTTTGTGTGCGGGCCTAGGGTGTGTGGGTCTAGGGAAGGGGGGCGAGCTAAAGGCGCGTGTTGGCGTGAGAAGTGTTGCAGATGTAGATGACAGATGAAAAAAATATTTAAATTTGACAAAACACCGCTTAGGTGCAGATGTAGTAGTACTGAGTGTCGTGTATAAAAGTTGTGACGCGTAAGAATCGTCTCACACGTCCCTTCTCGTTTATTCTCCCTTCTGTTGTTCCTCATGTTTTTTGGCATTCGTAAGGTATATTCGCTGAAAGGTGAGGCCATAAATAACGACAGCATATGGTTTCTATGCTAATTTTATATTGATACAATTTTTTAGAAGATCTAAGTTGAATATGTCAAAATTATCTGAACTGGCCTGGTCAAAGGTACTGCACCTTGTATTCAATATATCTTGGCATTTGCCGGCTCGATAGGCTGCGCCAACAAATTTTTTAGACCGATAGAAACGCCGGCAATTATAAACAAAGGGCACAGAATTGCTGCTAATGCAATTTTGTTGATAATCTGCATTGGATTTTGGATTGAAAATCAGCAAAAATGGCCCAGGCAAGCTCCATGAAGCTGCTCGGTGCGCGCAACATGACCTGCATTGTGGAGCGCATGGAGTGGAACAACAAAATGGATCTTATTGCCTATGGCACGGAAAAGGGTAAGCTGTGCTTAATCAAACCTACACGCACTGCTCTTCGCTTGGACTTAACTCACAAGTTTACTATATAAACCAGGCGAGGTGGTCATCCAGCGGCTGAACTGGCAAAAGATTGTTACCTTCCCCACGCCTGGCGAAGACGTCCGAGTGCGCTCCCTCAGCTGGCAAATGGACGAAACGCTGTTGGCCGTGGGCTACAGCAATGGAAAGGTGGCTCTGCTGGATGCCGAGAGCGAGACAATCATCTCTGGGCTGATCTACGACGACGACATCAAGAAGGTGTACTTCAGCAAGGCCATCAATTGCCAGGAGACGCTGGGCAGCTACACCTGCAACGCCAAGGACAAGCACAAGCGATTCCTGCCCAAGTTACAGCCGCTGACGAACATTGATCCGTGCCTAAAGTCACTCGACCAGAAGTCCTTCCCCAAGGGATCGCCCTGCTTTCTGGTGGTGATTATGCGCAGCGGCAAAGTCCATCTGCTGCTGCTGGGCGCCCTCCAGGCGGGCAGCATCGATCTCACCCAGCACGTCTTGCACCCGGAGCAGTTCGATGTGTACGATGTGCGACTGAACGGTGACTTCAATGCCATCTATGCGCTGCTGCGCGATGGCCAGCAGCTGAAGATGCTGCACTTTCACAATCAGGTGCTACAGGATTGCATGGCTCCCATGCTGGAGCTGGCCACGCACTGTGCCCACATTCTAGAGACAAAGAAGTAGGTGCTCCCGATGACTTTGTATACTCTGATTACTCTCTAATCTATGCGGACCTTGGTAGCTACATCAATGACACACAGCAATGCCTGACGGAGGCCTGGGAGACTGTCCAGCTGGAAATGGACAACAAACTGACAAAATATGCCAATTCGCAGGCATACGGCATGATATCCACCCACTTTTTGGAGCTTCATGTCTTTGGGTTTGCAACCTTTGAGGTGGAGGAATTTCTGTTCGAGTGAGTTGCGTTTCCATCAACAGTTTCCAGGGCTCATTAGTCTGTCCACCTTGCAGCACACTCTCGGAGAAGGGCTTCAAGAAGATAGCCAATTCGGTGGATCTCAGCCTGAACAATCTGCAGGGGCTGGTCTTTAAGCAGCTCAATGGAGCGGCCATTAATATGTTTTATTTTCTCAACACAATCGCAGGCTTTGGTCGCATGTCGCACTTCTTTGAGGTTTGAACACTGATCCTTTATAGAAGTCATCTAATCTCTGTCCTCTTGCAGTCTCTCATCTCACCAGAGGTGGCTGTGGAGGCCATGCGTGCCTGTGGTGCGTTCTATCTGAAGGTGCACGAACTGCAGCGTACCATCGATTCGCTGGTGAATGATATGAAGCTCTTCCATGCCTGGATGATATTCACCATTTTGCGACTGTCGCACCAGGAGATACCCGACGAGATGGTGCTCAGCGAGGAGGAGAACGTGGCCCTGGCCGATCTGCTCTGTGCAATGGAGCCGGATCTGGAGGATGGCAGCGATGAGGATGATATTGCCGAGCCACCGAGTGCTGGTGTGCCCACGCGCAGCAAATTCAATCTGGAGCGTGTGGGTCAGTATCTGGAGAATGCCTGCCTGACACAGCTCTATCCCGTGGATCCGAATCAGCTGTGGGAGCAGATGCTGGCCGAGAACGAGTGCCTGGGCCAGTGTCCGCTGTTTGTGCCTCACGACAAGAAGCTGTCGCTGGTACAGCAGCGCGACAAGATGTTCAATGCCATCGATGCTGTTTTCCACAAGCCAACGGAGAGCATTAGCGCCAGCTTTAAGCTCAGCACGGCCGTAGTCTGCTGCCAGCTGCCGCCCATGGAGCCCGAGGAGGAGCAGGATTTTGTCACCTGCAGCTACTATGTCCATGAGGCCGGCAGATGTGATATGCTAGCTGTAACCATCAGCTGGCAGGAGGCCATGGTCCTGGAGTTCAGTCGGGCCGAGGATTGCCTGTTGCGCTGCACTCGCGTCCAGCTGCAGCCCGGCCCCTTCACCCCCCAGCTGCACGAGGACTACTACAATCTGCGCTTCGTTGATCTGCAGTTCTACAACGAGTCCTCGCTCTCCATGCTGGCCCAGAGCACATCCTCCACGCCCGGCGTTCGCCCGCACAGCTACTTCATTCAGTTCTCCCTCAGCGCGGCGCGCAATCAAAGCACACAGCATCATCTGGCCACGCTGATGAATCTTCCGGATGCCACTGTAACGCATAGCATTCACGACATACCCGAGGCAGCTGCATTCAAGGGTCTTGATGGTGTCTGCGAAATGCTGGCCGTCTCCGGCAGCCGCAAGGTAGCCACAGTGCTTTCGGATCGCAAGCGCAAGATGACCATATTCGAAATGGAGATCGAGGAGGAGGAGGACGACACGGAGATGTCGCAGACTTCATTCCTGGAGATAAGCAAGGAGTCCATACTGGCCATCAATGATTCGGATAAGCAGGATTGAATCTTGTATTATTAATAATAATAATAATCCTTCATTTACTCTTGTTAAAAGTTGATCCCAAAACGAATTACAACGGGAGGAAATGCTGTGAGATGCAGCAAGGGCCGCGGCTCTACTTATACGTACTTTAACCGATACACAAAACTTTCTTTCTGCATCCAATAGAGTAGCTCTGACTAGCTGCGAAGATTGTCACATAAATCTGGCTTCATTTTGTTATCTTATCGCTCCAATCATCAAGGGGCGGGTGGGTGCTGATGGTCGAGTGTCCGAGGGCCAATGGAAAAAACGCGTGATATCTGGCCACTTGCACAATTCCCATTTTGTTTTACTTTTGGCAAATGGAATTCTTGATTTGAATTGATTACAAAAAATATATGTACAAAAAAACATAAGAGAGAAGCGTTTTAAGTTTAGGACATTGGATATCCTGGATAAATGTGATCATGGCTAGCTCCTCGAAGCTCTGTCTGTCATTCGGATCCATAGCCGCAGAGGAGGAGTCTTTTTGCTTGAATGCAAATTACAAATATATTAAAAAATCGTTTTATTACAACTAAGTTTGTTTTGAGCCACGCGAGTTGCAGTTGCAGTTTCTGGAGGATTAAGTATCCACCAGGGGATTTGTTGGCGACTAGCTGATCTCATACTGATATGCATCCTCATCCGAATCCTCGCTGGTGGAGTAGTTCTGCTTGCGGCGACGCTGCTCGCGTTTGCTGAGCTTCTTGGACGCCGCTGGGGCTGGGGCTGCGGCTGCGGCTGGTGCGGCCGCTGGTGGGTGCTCCTCCTCTTCTGGAGCCAGCTCCTCTTCGAGCTCTGCATTGGCTTCCGCCTCCTCGGCCTTCTTTTGGGTCTTGACGAGCTCGCACAAATACTTGTAGCGGACCAGGCACTCCTCCTTGGTCTTCTCCGGCACACTGTTGGCAATCTTCTGCCAGCGATCCCCACTGGCCGTCTTTCTGTTCTTCACGATGGCAGCCTCCAGAGCGCGCTGCTGCTCCTGCGTCCAGTTGGTCTCCGGTATCAGCATGCTCTTCTCGCTGCTGGCAGTTGCTGGTGCCGCCGCTGCCTCAGTTGCGGACTTCTTTACCTTCTCCTTGCGCACCGCCTGCTGTGACTCCTGGACGAGGTGCTCGGCCACGCTCTCCGTTTGGCCGGGTATGCGGTAGCCATTCTCTTTCATCTTGGCTGCCATAAAGGTGACCTCCTGGACGCTGCGGTTCATGGACTCGGCAATGGTGTTCCAGCGACTGCCCGCTCCACCAGGATACTTCTTCACGAGGCGTATCAGCTCGGTGAGATCCTCGTCCGTCCAGAAGCCGCCGCTCACAGTGCTCTGGAAGATTTGGGCGCCCTTGGGCGATGAGTAAAACGAACGTGAGTCTAGGTATTTGTAGTTCACCTTCTGGGAAGCGGGACGCACGGCATCCTCTTCGTTTAGCTCCCGGGCATTGATGCGCGAATAGCCGCGCAGCTCCTCCTCGGTCTTTTCGGGTGCCTTGCTGTTTTGCTTGCGCTTGCGCAGATTCTCCTTTTGCTCCTTTCGCAGGCGGGCTTGCTCCTCGGCCTCACGCTCCAGCTCCTCCTGACGACGAGCGGCCTCGACCTCTCTGCAAATAAGAGGAAAAAGATAACATTTAGTCTGAATCCCTAATGGAAGAGCCTCCCTACTCACTGTCTGCGCTTCTCTAGTGCCAGCTCCTTGAGCTCGTTGGCCTTGCTGAAGGCATTCATGATGGTCTTGGGTAGATTCCAGATGGCCAGCGGTATCTGAATGGGCAACGTGTTGAGCAGCGATGGCATGGGAATCTCGCTGAGGATCACGTCCATATCGATGTTCTTGTTCTTCTTCTGGAGCTTCTTCAGCTTGGTACCGAACACCTGCTCGGCGGTGTACTTCTTCTCCAGATAGGCGGCCCACGCGAACAGATACTGGCCAATGGTGATGATTAGGAAGAGGATGAAGGCGCCCTCGTAGAGGCCAATCTTGCGCATGCGGCGGTAATAGTAGAGAGCTGACTTCCAGTTGGGCATGCCCTCCTTGAGCACCTTGTCGTACTTCTCCCGCTTGGAGGAGTCCTTTAGCACCTCGTAGATGGAAACGAGATTCCGGAACTGGATGTTGGCATCTTCGGACGGATTTTTGTCGGGATGCAGGACAATCGAGAGGGTGCGAAAGGCGCGCTTGATCTCGTTATTGGTGGCCGTCTGATTGATGCCCATAAACTCGTAGAAGTTCTTGTTGATCTCCTCCACCAAGTCGAAGATCTCCAGCTCCTCCGAGTGCCAGGCCTGGGCCGTGCCGCACATTAGCAGCAGACAGCCGCCCAGCAGCAGTAGCAGTGTTTCGCCTGGCAGTTTCATTTCGTAAGTTTCGTGGGGCTTACGGGCGCTGCAAGTCGAAATCGAAATCAAAAGAAATGAATGCGGCAGACACCACACACACAGCTGTGACACGCACGAAAGTGGCAACGTCAGCAGTATCAGCGTTGCCAGCTGTCACATATGGTCAGCAACGCCGTTGATTAAAAATTCCGGCGCTGGACTATTCAGAAGTACTTGTTAAATAAGTTTGGGGGCTTTTAATTATATTTTTTTCTATAAAAGCTTTGATTTTTTAAACACATATGCAAATATTGAATATTTGCAACTTTAAAAACCATTCTTTTGATAACACTTATCGATGCCCTGCCAACACCACAGTTGTGCTCGGTGGAAAGAGCAGGTGAGATGGTATAATTCGGTATATGTTTAAATGAGAACGTTTATCTCTGTATATTTCCGGGGGTCTGGCGGTATATTTTATCGATAATTCCGCGGTCTCAGTGGTAAAATATTAATTTTGCCTGCCAAATTTCCAAGGTTTTGGACAAAATTGCACAAGAAAGGCCTGGCCTGAGAATGAACGTGCTTCCGCTGCTTTGGCTGCTGTGCAGCTCAAGCCTAGTGCTGCTCGCTGCTGGCGAGCAGAATGCCACTGTGGCCAGCGTTGGTGCGGCCAATCCCCAGACAGCACAGAGCAACAGTTCCACGGCAGCGCCGCTGGTTGTGAATGCCACTGTCTCAGCTCAGGCTGCAGTGCCTGGTCAAGTGCACATCATTGAGAAAACGCAGGTCAAGTCGACCAACGCCACGGAGCTGGCCAAGGAGCATGAGAAGGACATAAACAAGACGAGCACAATTCCGCCAGACAACACGGCCAAGACAAGGAAGCGGACGGACCCGGTGCAGCTAAAGCCCACCATTGCGACAGCGGCGCCAACCAGCTCAGCTCCGGCAGCCACCAATGGAACAATCACAAAGGCAGCAACAGCAAAGCCAGCCACTGGCAACATTGTGGCTGAGGGCATCTCCATAAGTGATGTGAAGACGGTCAACAGGTCTAGCACGACCAGCGGCAATAGCAGCAGCACCTCCACTATTCCATCGACTACAACAACCACAACAACAACAACAACCACAACAACAACAACCACAACAACAACGACGACGACCACGACGCCGCGTCCCACAAAGCCAGCCGTTGTCTACAGTATGGACACGCACAGCGAATGGGAGAAGGAGCAAGAGGATAAACAAAAGTCACCGGCGGCTCCTTCCTTGGCTGCGTCCTCGGAGCCCCTGCCGGTGCTGGCATCCACGCATCCCGAACCGGCAGCACCAATGGTCCAGGAGCTCACTGGAAATCTGGCGGATCGTGGGGGCAACGACTACATCGTGCCCATTGTGACGGTGCTGCTGACGGTGCCGCTGGCCATTGGTGTGGTCACCATTATGTATCGTCGCTTTCGCGAGCTGTGGAGCACACGGCACTACAGGCGCATGGACTTCCTGGTGGATGGCATGTACAATGACTGACGAAGGCGCCAGGCGCCAACGGGTGGCAAGAGTGGCCAGTGGTCAGCGTGCTCCACGTACTCGGCCACCACCACCACATACTCCTCCTCCATACAGCAAAGAATTTGTTAACCAATCAAGCGATAAGCGAGATGCGATAATTATTAGTTGTTTAAGTTTCCCAAAAAAATGTTTCGGATGTTTGCATCCAATGCAAGAGAGAGGATGGATCTCCGCCAGAGAGTGAGATGCACACACACACACACACACAAAAGGATAACTAGGATATTGCTCAGTCAATTAAAAACACACACAATCGGCGAAAACAAAGTTAGAAACGAAACATTTATAGTTCACAAATTGTTGCTAAGAGAAGTGTCTAAAATTTCGTAGAGGCCAAAATTGGAACTTTTGTAAGCAAACTGATTTTAGAATGCAAAATTGGATTATACGCATTATTAGTTGTAGGAAGCATTTGGAATTTGTATGTGAAGCAAAGAGCATTTGTTACGAAATCGGCATATGATAACCAACACAGATACATACATTTATATATATACCTATATACCTATTATATACATATATACCTTTATATAGCTACTTGTATGCAGCAATCAATCCAATCTATGATTAGTATTTAGCTGCGACCAAATTGTATCAGTCCCTGATCCCCATCAACCATCAACCCTGAAGCATCAATCAAGCGCAATTAGCAATCACTCATTTGTGGTAGATCTACCATATATAGACCGTAATGTGCCTTACGAATCAGCTATATACATAACTATATATATATATATATCCTACCTATAGAATATGTAGTACATATATCGGTTGATGCATTTACTTTACGCCCCTCATTGCAGCCCCCTATCGCAGGGTGCAATTTGTAGCCTCAAAGTAGGTACATCTTTACATATACACATAACACAATAATTATGTACAATTCTCATTGTTATTCAATGTAACAATTACAATAAACTACGAGAATATGCCAGTCAAAGAAAATGATGAAATTTCTTTAGCTTCTTAGTGAATAATTCGCAAGTGTAGGCAGACCCGTAACACTTCTATCCAAGCTCCTACATAAATATATTTCTAATTTGGTTGCAGCAGATCAAGAGCAAAAATAAAGATCGTAAATATACGACATATCATAATAATTAATGAACAATTCAGCGGCAAAAGCGTGGGTCATATTTTCTTATGAAAACTTAAATATGTTTCTACTTTGGTTCCGTATAGTAGTTTGTGCCTGCCCAGCGGTAATCATTCATTATAGTTATAACTCATTTGTGTCTAGCTAGATATTGTCGCTCCGCTCCCCCGAGACTGATCCCCATGGTGATTTGTGTACGAGCTCAGGGCATTTTGTTGTGGGGAAAGCATTTTGGGTAGCGCTTGGGCTGACCTGTTGCGCTTATGCTGAGATGATTTAAGAGACAAATGTGAAAGACAAGGCGTCGCCATAGCTCAGTGCCTGCCAGCAACTCCCCCTGCCCACTAGCCACTACCTTGAGCTATAGATATGCTCAGCGTATTCTATGTATATCCATCCAGTTGCCAGAAACAAAAGGCATTTAGCTTTAGCTGCTGTGAAATACTGTGATTGAAGTGCTGTATAAATTATCTCCATCTCTAGTGGCCCGTTTCGTATAATTTAAACAAAAACAAAAAGAACAAACCATCGAGTCGCCTCGTTTTGGGCATCGGGAACTCGTACTACGAGTAGGTGAATGTGTGAAATAAGTCGAGCAACTGCTGCTCCTACGAGTATATCTGTTTAAGATGGTTTTTTGATACCCATTACAAAGTAGAGTCTGTGGCAACTTTTGATATGTGGCAAATATTTGGTTATCCTCACCATCAGATGGCTATTCCCAAAGAGATATACCCATACTGCGGGGTATCTTTCTGGTCGCTACATCCGTCTATCAATTGAAGCTTTTACTGTAGGAGATTTTGTATTGTGTGTTTTGTTTGTTTGGTGGATTTTGTGCCGCCTCCGCATTCACTTGAAAACGTGCGCTGGACGCGTGCAGTTCTCATCGATCAGTTTCCGTTTAAAAATACCTTCGGCTCATCTATTTACCAGCTCGTTCGTGCCCTTTTGCTCGCTCGTTTGTTCAGAGATATGCATCCTGCCTCGCCGCATCAACATCGCTCGCGTCTGCATGTCGGCTCGCCGGGATCGGGCCAAGTGCAGGCCTCCTCATCAACGGAGACATTTCCCCTGACACCGCAGCCGCAACATCATCAGTCGTCGTCGCAGCATACGGTTCACATACCACCTGCCGCCTCGCTGCCCTATCAGGGACTCAAAACGTGTAAGATATGAGACGAACAAAAAATGAAACCCTCAAGGATTTTAAATTCTATAAATTCTGCAGAAGAAATTTGAACGAAAGTTCAACGAAGTTCCACAAAAATATAAATATCTAAAGGTTCAAAAATTACTTACTTATTTTAATTCGAATTTCCCAAATCATACTGAAGGAACTCTACAATTATTTGGATCTTCCAGGGATTTATTATATTGCAGGAGAAATAATATTTATTAAATGTGTTTATTTTGGAATTTTTAAATTCGATTTTGTTGCATAGTTCCTTTTGTGGATTTGTGGACCGGATTTGCAGGCACAGATTTAGCCTGCTGCCGCTTTTTGTTTAGCTCATAAAAATATACGCACATTGACTGCCAGATACAAATAGTTTTTTCCACATGACCTCACAGATCTCGCAGATAAACCTCCCAGCCCCCTTCCGCCATAATCCATAATTCAAGAAAATGTGAAATGAATGCAAATACAAAATCATAATTAAGGCACGAGGTGAGACGGTTTGTCGGTTAAATGAATCAGAAACGAAGCCCCAGAACCAACCAAATATTCCAGCTGTATCGGAGAGCATTGAATTGTACGGACCACCAATGAAGTATGCAATATAAACTCTGCGCCGACATATACAAATAAATATAAACTATCCCACCCGCACGCACAGGCCTCGGGGATTGAGGCATATGAACACCGATCCGTGTATCCGTGTATCCGTGTATCCGTGTGTTCGTGTGTTATAAATCGTACTGTCGAAACATATAATGTAAACAAAAGGAATGAAGTACCCAACACCCCGCCGGGCGTTTCTCTCGAGGTGCAAAAGAAAAACAAAACAGCACAAGAAAATGGAAAAACAAAAACAAAAAACCAAAACCATTTTGGAGATCATATTCATGAACGTGTTGTGTGCGTGTACTCGAATACACTCGCCCCGCGTGTATACTCGTACTCGTATCTGGCCATAAAGAAAAATGTTCTAGTTATGTAGTTAGTCGAGCATAAGAAATGCCCCACTACCGCTCGCTTTGCTGGATATTTATGGAATTTATGGCATTTTTACTAGATCAAAAGCAATTTGTACAAATTAATTGCCACACAAAAAACAAAAACACAAGCAGATCCATGCCCTGGAATACTCTTATGTGTTCTACATTTGTGGTGTGGGGGCAATTGAAATATCATAATGGGTTGGAATAACCACAAATCCGCATAATTTCAATTGCGAAACATAAGGAAAGGGAAAGGGAACCCTGACACATAGGAATGAGTGTACGAATATTCTCAGTGTTGGAAGGGAAGATATCCAATCAATAGCCAACGCCAATCGTCAAAGCCGTTCCTCATTCTTAAATCCATTTTACAAACGAGTTGTTCCAGCTTTCAATCTCTCTCTGTTTCTTTTTTTTTGCAGCGGAAAACGATGACATGGGCTGCGTGGAGATACTAGCAACGGCCATTTCCGTGCTGATTATGATTCTCACCTTTCCAATCTCCGTGTTCATCTGCTTCAAGGTGGTGTCCGAGTACGAGCGGGCTGTGATCTTCCGCATGGGTCGCCTGCGTAGCGGCGGTGCCCGTGGGCCGGGTGTCTTCTTTGTGCTGCCCTGCGTCGATGATTACTATCCGGTGGATCTGCGCACCGTCTCGTTCGATGTGCCACCGCAGGAGGTGCTGTCCAAGGACTCGGTGACGGTCACCGTGGATGCCGTGGTCTACTATCGCATCAGTGATCCCCTGAAGGCCGTCATTCAGGTGTACAACTACAGCCACTCGACCAGCCTGCTGGCAGCCACCACATTGCGCAATGTCCTGGGCACCCGCAATCTCTCCGAGCTGCTCACCGAGCGCAAGACCATCTCGGATACGATGCAGATGTCCCTGGACGAGGCAACCGATCCCTGGGGCGTCAAGGTGGAGCGTGTGGAAATGTAACAGCAGCCACGAACCACCCACCAACTTTATCCGCATTCATTTTGCCTTTTTCCTCTTTCTTTTTCCAGCAAGGACGTCTCCCTGCCCACGGCATTGCAGCGCGCCATGGCCGCTGAGGCGGAGGCCGCTAGGGAGGCCCGCGCCAAGGTCATTGCCGCCGAGGGCGAGATGAAGTCATCGCGTGCCCTCCGTGAGGCCTCCGAGATCATCTCGGCCAGTCCATCGGCCCTGCAGGTAAGTCTTCCGCGCAGCTCCGAGCTCCGAGCTCCGAGAATCTCTTGGCCAGCGCTGAACCTTGTTCTTGTTCGTCCGCAGCTGCGCTACCTGCAGACCCTTAGCAGCATCTCCACAGAGAAGAACTCGACCATTATCTTCCCGCTACCCATGGAGCTGCTCACGCCATTCCTCAACTCCCACAATCAGTACCAACAGCAGCAACAGCAGCAGCAGCAGCACAACATGCATTCCCATCCGCCGGCACCATCCACCCCACTGCATCGCCACCAGCATCAGCATCATCAGTGACGCTCAATGTCGGTGCTGCAGCCCTATCTGGAGGCACTGCATCGCTGCGAGCTCAAGCGACTGCAGCGTCGGCGGCAGCAGCCAACAATGGATCGCAATGGTGGGGTGGAGCCGGATGATGATGATGTCGAGGACATCGTTGGCTATTTGCTGTAGCATTCGATCGAATACCATTCGAATTAGGATCATGGGAGGAGTATAAGATGCTGGGAAATACCCAGAATTCTATTTATTGCATCAAAGTGTTCTTAGTCTAACTGTTGTGGTTGTTGTGTTTTTTTTTTGTTAATGAATGAATGAATTAAATTGTGTGTGTGTAGAATAAATCGCGAAACAAAAAGCCAATCTTGTCACGAATATTTGTAGTTTGTGTATTTTGTTTTTGCATTTTTCGGGCATTCACGGGCATTCTCTTTATCACTTTTCGCTTGTGCGCCTGCCTGCATTATCGATTGGCGTAGACTGAATCTGTAAGCGATCGATTGATCCCTCAACACGAGACAAATTCTACGCATTTGACTTGAAGCCCAGCTCCAGCCCCAGACAATTTCCGGGCTGCTGCTGCTTGGGTTTTTTATATGCAACGATGATTCATCCGCGAATGGCAAGCCATTTACAAACAGAGCCGGTTAGGTGGTGTTCCCATGGGTGCTGACTCGGTGGGGCAGCTTTGGTGCACAAAAAGCAGAGCGCGATAGCGGGGGCAGCCAGAGATACGAAGTGCTCGTATCTGGTGGCGTGGGCATTGGGCAGAGCGCTACCCGGTTCGTGATTAACCGTTCCCCGACACGACTCTCCGCGTTATCAATGGAATGCCCCGAAAGGGTGATTGTTTGTTGTTCAATTTGTATTTCGTGTTGGCGACAGTTTCGAGTGGCTCGCTGAACGGAGTGGATCACAGATCACACACAAATCAGAGCCATGGAGCAACAGCAGCAGCAGATGCACCACCAGCACCAGCAACATCAGGATGCGGACAACCCCGTGTATGCCAACTACGAGGATATGCGCAACTCGGGACCGAGCAGCTCCACCGCCTACATGATCAACATGGGTCCTGGCGCCCCACCACAAGGTGTAGTTATCTCTGATCATTCGCCACCGCGCAAGCGTTCCGGTGTGACGCAACAGTATCGGGGATTTAAGACATGTAAGTAAACGAACGATCTTCTGATAGTAACGTCACATCAATATATATTATCCAGCCAGCCAGCCAGCCATTCAGATATTTTCCAAATTCACTGGAAACGAAATTTAGATTAGATTGCACTCGAAAATACTTATAAATGGAAGAGAGATTGGTATAAGGATAAGGAAAATGGCATTTAATCAATGGCTAATTAACAGTCAACAGTCGTGAAAATGTGTTTATTTTGTATGCCATTTGGGTAAAAAAACAAAACCGCAATTATTTGTATGAGATAAATGTTTAAACAGATACGTAGATGGGGAGTTTTGGCAGTTTTTTTTTGCATAAGGAATTTCTATTGGGAAGTCTTTTAAAAGTCCAAATTAACTACAGGATATACCAGTGTCAGCTTTACATTAATGGCTTCAAATCCCTTTATAACTTTGACACAGCAGGGCTATGAAGCTTATGGCTTGTGGCAGTCGTTACAGATAAATATTATTCGTTTCTATATGCAAACGACAATCAGAATGGAACTTCGCACCAGATCTGTACAACAGATTCTACAGTCCTTCTGCCCATGCCAGGGCTTCCGATGCTTCTGTCAAGTGATCCTCTCTCCGGGTGCACTTAAGATCAACGCTTTTGTAGCCTATTCTCCCACATTCCTGTGGGACTGCAGTTCGAGTGTGGAGAATTGATTGAGTAGCCTGAAGTGCAGAAGGAAATACGTGTAGGGGCGCGTGCCTTATCTGTGGGCAAACACTTTGGACGGATCCGTCAATGATTAGTCATCCAGCATGGAAGATCTTGACTGTGTCTGTGGCTGCTGGAAATAATCTCTCATTCTGTTCTGTTCCCATTTCGCAGCTGAGAACGAGCCGAAGGGCTGCATGGAGTGGATAGTGACGATTCTCTCGGTGATTGTCTTTATTATTACGTCGCCCATTTCGATATTCATCTGCTTCAAGGTTGTGGCGGAGTATCAGCGTGCGATTATCTTTCGTCTGGGTCGCCTCAGTGGCGGTGCCCGTGGACCGGGCATGTTCTTCATTCTGCCCTGCATCGATGAGTACCGCAGGGTGGATCTGCGCACCGTCACCTTCAATGTGCCCCAGCAGGAGATGCTGACAAAGGACTCGGTGACGGTCACGGTGGATGCCGTGGTCTACTATCGCATCAGCGATCCCCTCTATGCGGTTATCCAGGTGGAGGATTACAGCACCTCCACTCGCCTGCTGGCCGCCACCACGCTGCGCAACATCGTCGGCACCCGCAATCTCTCTGAGCTGCTCACCGAGCGCGAGATCCTCGCCCACACCATGCAGTCCACTCTGGACGAGGCCACCGAGCCCTGGGGCGTGATGGTGGAGCGTGTCGAGATGTAAGTACAGCAATCATTCCTAAGTACGTCTCTTAATTCCTTATCCCGTTGTTCCTTGCAGCAAGGATGTCTCTCTGCCCGTGCCCATGCAGCGTGCCATGGCCGCCGAGGCGGAGGCGGCTCGTGATGCCCGCGCCAAGGTGATTGCCGCCGAAGGTGAGAAGAAGTCTGCCCAGGCCCTCAAGGAGGCCTCCGATGTCATCTCCTCCAGTCCCTCAGCCCTACAGGTGAGTCCGTCGACCGTTGATGTAACCAATTGAACGTTGGCTAATCTTCTGCTGCTCTTCTTCCGCGTTCTGCAGCTGCGCTATCTGCAAACATTGAGCAGCATTTCGGCCGAGAAGAACTCTACGATTGTGTTCCCCTTGCCCATGGAACTGCTGACGCCATATCTGGCCAAGTATGCGCACATGATGCCACAGGTGCCACAGGTTCCACAGATGCCCCCACAGCAGTCAAAGGAGAAGGCCGCTGATGGCACGGTGATTGATGCGCTGGCCGCTTGGCCAAAGACTCAATTGTAAATCCGTGTAATCCTGTCATAACATGCATTTCCTAATCCTTATTCGCTGGTCTTTACAACAAATAAACATTCTCCTGTGCCACACCAAGGGCCTTAGCTGCCGCTTCGCCCATGGCTCGCTGAAAGCCTGAATCTCCGGCTATTATTAGAACAGGCAGGCCTGGGATGGCAGGAGCGACATGCTGCTTCAGCTCGTTGGCTTCCAGTCGGTGCAGGCACACTCTCTCCTTATAGCGGAGGCTTCGGCGCAGCTCGTCGCACTCCTGCCTGCAGTGCCCGGCCTCCAGGCAGGCATCAGAGCCACATTGCTGGTGGGGCACGTACAAGCAGCTACGATAGTTCCAATATTTGGCAAACTCCAGAAGCTGGTCACGGAAGTAGACATGCTGCAGATCGGGTGCACACATCAGATGCCATATGCGACTCATGTCATCCTCATTCTCCAGCACTTGGCCCACCAGTGGCAGCGTTGGGGCAACGGCGACGCCCTGGCAAATAATATAAATGCACTTGGTCACGGCTGAATCGTGCCGATAATTGCCAATCGGTCCGCGAAACTCCAGCCGGTCGTTGGGTTGAACGGCAACCAAGTGCTGGGACATGGGACCATCGGGCTGCAGCTTGACTAAAATTTTAAACTCTTTGCTGGCAAAGTCCGTCCAGTAGGGGGAATAGGGGCGCAGCAGGGAGCCAATGCGCAGCATTATATGGTGTCCCGGGGGAATGTCCAGCACGCAGTCATCCTTATCGTCGCTCTCCGCGGCATTGCCAAAGTGCAGGAACAGCACTTGGTCATCGCCCGAGTGGGTTTCGCGCTGCAACAGCCGGAAGCTGGTGTACTTTAGGATAATGTTCCGCTTGCCGGCTAGCAGGGCTCGCTGGCTAGGCCTAGGCTTGTTGTCCAAGATGCAGTTGGTGCAGCCATTGCCACAGCAATCCGAGTCCTGGATAGTAAACACGTCCTCCACTTTCTGTTCCCTATTGGCTGTCATGCTGACAGTGTTGACTAATTTAGCAGTTCATTTTGTTGAGGCAATAATCGCAAATAACGAAGAGGCTGAGATTTCTTCATTTAAATGCTTTCGGGACTTGTAAATCAGGTTCATTTGAATTCGGGAATATAAGCTAATATGTCGAGGCCCGTCAAATGTATGTGCTTACACTTCTAGGCATATTAAAATCACGAAAAAATTAACCTCTGATAAATAACTGTCAGCACTGCCGGTTAATGCATTGTATCGATTATATCGATGGTTGTCAAATTTAATTGGGTCGATTTTGGTTGAGAGAAGAAGCACACTTATTAAGGATGTTGATGCTGGGTGGTTTTACATTTTACTTTTAGACCAATTTGAACTTTTTTCAAACTTTTTAAAATTACTCCATGGAAATTTCGATAGTGCGATGTTTTAAGCCATCGATGATAAAACTATCGACAAAAACCCATCACTATATGTTACTGGACAATACGAGAAGTATGCGTGTGTAAATAACAAAAGAAAAGGCAAGACGGGATAGCAGCAGCAGCAGGCAGCAACGCCAACAGAAGCAAGAGCAGAGCAGCACCTGGCAGCAAAATCTTTGTGCCCCCCAACGAAGCGTGTGTGTGTGTGTGTGCGTGCAAGCATCTGTGCGCAGCAGTGAGTACCGCAAGAGCAGGAGCAAGAGGCAACAAAAGAGACCAAGGCAAAGACAGGCATAGCGTATCGTTCGACGTCAAGAAGGAGGGCCACGGCAATGTGCAACTAGTGTCGGCCACACGCACGATCCCACTGTAAGCAGCTCTCATGGCCACATAGCCCCGCTTCAATATGAACCTGGAATCGCTCTTTCGCGACTTCAATCCCTGGTACGTACTGCAGACCCCCTGCGCTCAGCACCTGACCCTGAGTAAATCCTAACGAGTCTTCTTTGTGGCGTCTTGCAGCAAATTCATTGTTCACTGCAGCCTATTTACCTTTGTGACACTATATGCCTTGCGTCTGGATGACTACATTGGTAAGAAATGAGGCCCAAGGCCCCCCCCCCCCCCCCCAATTCCGCTAACCCAATTCTGCTCTCTTTCGGCAGATTGGCCTTATTGGGCCATCTTTACTCCGCTGTGGATTTGGAAGTGCACAGCCATACTGGGCGCCATTGTTGGTGCGATTGTGTGGTGTCGCTATCCCCACTACCGCCTCGAGGGCGATGCCTACACGCAGTTCAAGGCGATGCTCATCTCCCTGGCCCTGCACCTCATACTGCTGATGTTCGAGCTGCTGGCGTGCGACAAACTGACCTCGGATCGCCACCTTTGGGTACTTGTGTTCATCCCGCTGATCTTCGGCTCGGTGGTCAGTGTGGGTGCCTGCGTGTGGGCCGTCAAGCATGATCGCTCCTTCGAGCTGGAGCTCTTTTTGGCCGTTAATGCGCTGCAGTTTGTCTCGCTGCCGCTGAAGCTTGATCGGTTCGTCTACTGGAACTGGGACGTGGTGTTTGTGCCCATGTGGATTGTCATCTGCCTGAGTCTGGTCAGTGTGCTCTACAACATCATATTCTGTGGCATTATGATGCGCACCCCGGAGGTCTCACTGCAGCAAAAGAAGGCAGCCCTCAATGCGGCCGTGGGCAACATATGCACGGTGCTTCCCCTGCTCTGCTTTCAGGTGAGTCTCTAGATAATTGTGTGCCTAGCAAAAGTTGAAGCTTACCCTTTGATTTGCCCCCACAGGTGGTCATATGCGACAAGCTAGATGGAGAGCTAAAGTTCCCCTACATTGTGGTTTTCTCGCCGCTGCTCGTCTCCATTCTGGCGCTGATCATTCTCAGCTTCACCGCCAAGGGCGGCAACATGTGGTGGTTCGGCATTCGAAAATCCTTTAGCCAGTTCCTGCTCTCGGCCATGCCGTTCCTCCAGGAGTACGGCAACATCAGCTACCATGCCGACACGCATAGCAATGCCGGGCAGTCTGTACCATTGGATGCCTCCTCATCCACCAGCACGGCGGCGGCCAGCGAGCAGCTGCATGAGTTTAGCCGGCACGACAAGAAGAGCAAGAAGGGAGCCAAAAATGATATACTAAAGCCGGTGGTGCCATTCGTAAGCATTGATTTGCCGGACTAGACAACAGTTGCGGAAGAGCAGCGACAGCGGAAACAATAAGAAATCAAATAGATTTAAGGACACACATGCACACCTAAGGATAGGTGCACACACACAATCACATACATACATGAGCGCACATGCATTACTATATATACCATACCATACCATACCATAAATCGGCCGTAGCTTATAGTCTCGTACTGAACTCTAATTGTAAGCCTCATGCTTAAAACTCGACCCTATCCGTGGCCGCCACCCGCAGCACAACCATCCAAACATACACACATGCAATTGGGATACGGAGATCATTTATAATAGTTGTACAACCCAGATTTAGACGCATACTAAAACGTATTGCCTGAGAGCTACTATACCCAGTTCCACAGTAATGGTTGGACAGCAGGAGGAGCATGTACATACATACATATGTACAACTATTATATGATCCAATTTGATACCTTCCCTCTCCACTCCTCTCCTCCCCCACACGTCCACACACACAAAGAAAACTATGTTTAAAACGCGCTACGAGAAGAAAAAAAAAATGTAAATAATTTACAAATTACATGATTAAAAAACAAATCTCTTAAGTGCTTCCAAATGAAAAATAAATGCCTAAAAGTAAATGTATTTTTGTGGAAGGAAACGTTTTGGCCTCGTTTTTGATATGAGCTTGAAAAACCAAATATAGCATAACTATCCCAGATCTCCTCCAGGACATTCACTCTACAGAATGTCTTAACTCAACTAGCTTTAATTTCGTCAGCTCTCGTGTCAAGGGTTTGTGTGAGTTGAAGTTGACCTGCAATGCCGTTCGAGTGTTCCCTTTTTCACTGATTATTTGGCTCTTTCTTTGAGGAGGCATCTATCATTTCGAGCTTACTGTGGCAATTTTTTCTAAACATCTTCCTCTAACATTGTATTGTATTATTCGTACATTTAAATCCATTTTGGGGTTTTTGCAAATGACTTTCACGCAATGCAGTGAGTGGTATTAAACTTTATTCAAATTAGGAAGCTACAAAGTTACATATTCCATTGTTATTAATTTTTGTTATCTTTTGGTTTCTATTATTTCCATGTTGTTTTTGTCGTTTTTTAATAATAAATCGCTTAGTTTGTGTCGCCTAAAAATGTATGCAAAGGTAAAAAGGTTGCATTTTAAAAAGTGATCCATCCAGTCATCCGTTTAAGAAGGTATTCACCATATACTACATGTGTAGATATATAAAACCAATCGAAAATAGACGATGAAAGAGGCAACAGGAGGTACACTATATACAATACCATTATATATGGTATGTACATATGTATGTGTATGTTTATAAAGCGAAAGATAGGCACATAATTAGAAGTATTTGCAAAGGCGTAGTAGGAGGGGAAACATGAGCGAGATATGGGCAGGGAGCTATAGAACTTATAAATTGTAACGCATTAACATTTGGTAATTCAATTTAATTCAAATACATAGCTCAACTATTGCCTAACATATATATATATATATATATACATGTATATATAATTCCCCCCAGCGAGAACATTTGCATAGGTACCAAATCAGCATATCATTCCATTTGTTGAGTGTAAGAATTAACAATTGTTTTCATTGGTTTAGCTAGTTTTGGTTTACAAAATTCAAAGGATTCAAATTGAAATAGGGCGTAGGTATCTCTCTCACAAATACAATTCATAATTGGCATAATTATTTATAATATTATTTTACTTATGGAATAAAAGTGTTTCCTCTACTGCTTCAGCTGCTGTTACTGTTCTGTATGGTACACGATTCAATTTTGGAATTACATTTGTTAAGAAAAAAATAACACAAAACATAAATAAACACAAACGAATACATGGGTTCCGTTCTCCCCCAATATTCGAGAGTACACGGGAGAGGCTCCTTAATTTTGTATACAATTCGATTAGCTATGATGCAGCCACTCGTTCCGTAAATACAATTTCCCGATCCACGAGCTATGTATGTATATGTTTTCCACTGTTCTCATTCATTGGCTAAGTAGAATTGCCTTTTTATTATTTGCTAGATTTGTTTATCCTCTGTGTCTGTGGTGTGTGTGTGGTTCGTTGCCTGTCTATTGTCTGAATTATTTTCAGGGGCTCACAGGGTGCATAGGCGCCCAATAGGGTCACCAAACGTGCTATTCTATGCTATGTATTTCCCCACAAGTTTTGGATGATATTTCCTTGCTCCTTCTGTATACACGATATGTACGTCTAAGTGCTACAATGTAATAAACGCTGACTCCTTGAATTTTGGAATTGACATGAGATCTGCTTGAAAGCGGCCTCTGCTGCTCCGCTACTTTGTTCTCTTCTTCTTTTTCCGAGCTACCAGTTGTTATCTACTCTATGGTATTCCTTTGGTGCACTTAAACCATTACTTAATACATTTACTCGTAATTCGAATGTGTACAAAGGACATTATGCCCGTAAGATATATAATATATATATTATAATATTTGTGGAACTATGGAGCATTTTTGCATTCGTTTTTTCGGTTTCGGTTTATTTTTTTGCGTTTGGTTTTTAGTTTTTCGTTCACTTTTTCGAGTGTGTAGAGGGAGAGAGAGAAAGTTGAGGGAAAAATAGAATGTTTTGTGTTTGCAATGGAAGCGCTTAGGTTTAAACTTTAAAGTTGCAGAAGATCAATAATTGTACGTTTCGTATGGGAATTATACAGACACTGTACACGGTAGGAGAGCAAGCACGAGAAATCAAACGAACGCATGGAGGAAGCATATCCCAGATCTAGTCAGTTTTCGGCCTGCTGCTCAAGTACTGCGATATATTCTCCAGCGGCCCCTGCAAAATCACCATGTACTGCGACGGAAAGTCCCAGATGATCGTGAAATGATACAGCATATTGGCAATGGCAATCAAGTACTCGAAGAATGCAAACCAGCTAAAGGCTGCATATGGGGAAAGAGAGAGATTCTCGAATTAGTCAGCGACCCAAGGCGAACCCCTGCACTGTGCCATAACTCACCCAAATCGTGACAGTAGAAGCGATGTTTGGCAAAGAAGACCAACAGACCGATGGTGCTCAGTATAGAGGCCACAAAGAAGAACTTCTTCCACTTTATGGACTGCTGCTGCTGAACATTCAGTGACTGGCCAGCATTGAGTATTCCATTCAGCTTGATGGTGGCCAGCATATAGCACAGCGAACAAACCATGAACGTGATGAAGATTCTCTCGTGCACGGCTTCAGGCCGAAAATAAACAGAACAAAAACATCATCAATTATCTTAAATCTAAACAGCTTGTGCTTCAGCATGGACTTACGATAGTTCTCCCGATTTGATATATAGGTAACGCCGCCGAGGGACGCTATCTCAATGCAATTGAGCACCAGAATAAGGCTGATCAGCCAGCTGGCCTGTGGCACCAACTCTGGGCTGAGCCGCTTCAGCTGCGACCGATAGTAGTTCTTGTAGACAAAGGCAATGGGTATTCGTGGTCCGATGTGCAGCGCAATGCTAAAACGCCAGAAGTAGCGCTGCGGACTTACGCCCGTAATTGCACTTATCGAGGGTATTATATTGTAGACCTGTAAAGCCGAGCCCAAAAGGGAGTGAAGGTTAAATCTCTTGCTCTCTGTCTCTGTGGGGATTCTTTCGGGAATACCACCCGAACACTCACGCGGCAATGTGTCTCGTGTACATCGTCGTACTGGAAGACGTAGGCGGTCACAAAGCAGGTGAAGAGAGTCACCAGTGGCAGCAGGGCGGTCACCACGCAGATCTCATGGAAGCTGGCCAGATAGTGTATGGTCAATGGCTGCTCCTGATGCTGTTGCTTTGTGGCCTGCAATTATGGAAGGGAATTAGTAAGAGGTTGACTCAAGGGGGGGGGAGGGCCCTTCTTTGGGCGCTCCTTTCTGGTGGAGGCTTACCGTGCGCGCTAATTAGCTATATTTGGTTTTGTTTTTAATTTCGTTAAATTAGCAACAACAAAAAGCGCTAAAAAAAATGTGAAAGGAGAATATGAATAAATCAATAAACAAGCAAAAACAAAAACCCCCCAACCAATAATCAGAAACAAAGTTGATGGCAAAAAAACTATATATAAATAAACGCATACATGTGTACATACATATGTACTTGTATGTACATATTTACACATACTCATACATAAATGGACGGGGACGGCGACCCGGGGACTCGCACGAAAACTGAATAATGAATGAAGACCGACGGACCGAACGACCACGTCTCCGAATCACAGCCTCCGCAACGAGGGAAATAGGATTATAAATAAACGAGTCCTTGAGTGGGTGGCAAGGCCGTTTGCTATCATGGCAAAAGGATTAATGTCCAAATATAGATACGTCTGGAGCTGGAGCTGAAACTGGACCCACCATCCATCCATCCTGACGTAATCAGGCCCACAGCTGGTGCCGAGTTCCGCCTGCCATTGTCCAAAATTAATTAGCGCCAAATTATTTAGGAAGTGTTGGCGAGGCGTTGCAAATGAAATAGAATGCGTTGTGATTAAATCAGGGACCGGACAGGACATGTCACGGAACATTGTGGCGCACAGAAAGCCCACGCGTGGCTCCCATCGACATGTGGGGTCATAGAAAGAGATGTGATGAGCGAGAGATACAGAGTGAAACGTAACATATGGGAAAGGGAAGGGGCAGGGTTCTGTCATTTCGGAATGGTGAAAACATAACGGTAAACAACATGGAGGAAAGAGAAAAACAAATCGAAGCAAAACGCATTTCGAAAACTACAAAAGCAAAAAGCAAACAGAAAAAGCCCATTCAAGGGTGGGGTGGTTGGTGGGGGATGGTATATGTCTGTGTGTGCGGCATGCGCAGCTGAGGCGGGGAAATGGGTCTTCTAACTGCGAAAATTACAGCAACGGAAGAGCAAAGAGGAGGGTAAAATAAAACAGGCACACACACACATGCTTATACAGTACACCCACGCACACAACACACACACACACAGGCTGGAAGGTAGCTGGGAAGGGGGACGGTTTTTACGGCGACAGGGTGGCCTATGGCCGGAGCGGGGTCAGGTCATAAGCGTGCGCTGGCTGCCTTTCGGTTTTGGCTTAATGTTATATAATTTTTGGCCACACACAATCCGCAACCACACAGAAACATCAAGAAAACACACACAAAAACAAAAAACAATTATTGGCACACAGGTTATATGGTATATTGGAAAGAATTCAATTTCCATGGTTACACATGCACCCACTGTTCTCACCGCCGCTGCCGGATCGTGGAGGGTGCAGCTATCGCCGCTGGACCCGCCACTGCCGATGACGCCGCCGCCTCCATCACTGATTTTGCTGGATTTTGCCTCCGCTCTCGCCCCGCTGCTATCTGATGAGGATGATGCTGCAACACATCCTGTCCTCGATACCCCGGATGACGATGACGTTGATGCTGTTGAATTCTGTATGTTCTGCATATTTGTCGGCGGCGTCGTCGTTTCTGTTAATTGTTTGTCTGTGGAGGATGCCCTTTCGCATAATTTGTATGCCCTGCTGCTGCCGCCGAACCGCGCGCGCGCTTCACACGCGACTGCCTGTCTTTTTTTCCTTTTGATAATATTTAATATTTCGCAGTCCAGCAGTCCGCAGTCCCCGTTTAATTTTTTCGCCCACCTGCTTTTTTGTAACAGAACACGGTCACACTGGACTGGCGCCCTCGAAACCACTGCATTTATAGGAATCTTGATTTACCGCTAACTTTTTCAGCGATACATTAACTATCGATAGCACAGCACTTGCGATGAATTCAATGCGATATACGATGTGCTAAAATGCGCTCAAAATCACGTATTTAAGAATTTAATTAAATAACTTATATTATGTTATGTTACATATTATATTCGTTTTTTTATTATATGGAGCCCCATCCAAGGTTCAAAAGGTAGCTCCTTATTATGCTACGTCTAACGTATTGCTTCATTGCTGTTGTGTTATCAAAATGAAAAAAAAAACCGAATCAAATCTTACACTGAAAAATTAAATAAATATGTTGAAGCGCTTGCTTACTCGATTGCTGCTGCTCTTTTGGTTCGTGGACCATCATTGATTTAGTAACTTTTAAAATGTTGTGTTCCCCTTTGGGAGTGTATGAGGATGGGGATAGATTTAGACATCTGCCATTCTTCCCAATATGTTTCGTACGTCTTAATCGAATAAATTAATAAGTGTGTCCACTCAACACACTTATTAGTTCATTCGCCAGCTAATTGATTAATCCTAAACTTTTCCTTATTGCTAGATTTGTTAGCTTAGTGCAAGGGTGTGGACTTTACTGTCTGTATGGGCTGTGTGTGGGTTAGTTTGTTTTTGTTTTTGTTTGCGAGGAGCATGACAAACAGAGAAGCTGTCACCTATTTCCAAAGCTGCCCATGTACAATCTCTAGCATCATTTTCTTTCTAAAGTAGGGCATATGCTCCTGGCTGAATGTGAGCGGCTTGTCCCGAGTTATATATTCAGCTGTCATACAGCTGAAGACGCCGCAGTCACTACCGTTCGTCTGCTGCGGTCCGTTTAGGATATTTTCGATCCGAAAGCCGCTAACGTCAAAGGGCTGCTTGCGTTTATCCAATGATTCTTCCTGCACGTAGTTTTTCAACGCGTCGAGGACCGCGTTGTTCGGATTTCCTAGCGAGTCGTAGTAGAAGATTGTTTGGTTCTTCATGTGTATAATGGCCATGCACCAATGCATGCCATTAAAGTGTACCGGCACCACAATAATGTCCTTGCTGATCACATCAATCTTACGTGTCCAGCGCTTCACAGCACTAAACCCGTCCTTAAGCAGACGTGACATAAAGAATGTGTTCATGGCATACACACTGGGCAGTATGCCCGCCTTCTGCTCTGATCGTTCGATGATCATATTCATATAGAAATTGATCACCTCATCGTTCAGCCAGGTGAGCCCGGTCAATGAGCGAATATACTTTTTCGTTATTGTAAGCGAATATTTTCGGATCAGCGGCTGCAAATACAAAACCAGAGACATTCATGTGATGAGAGGCAAATCATGAAATAGAGCGAGACAGTGCGCTGCACTTTTGCATATATAGATGGGGATGACTTACATCATTAGGATCGCCAGTGACCATTTCATGCAGCTCCCTTTGCTGTTCTTCGCTGATGGGAATAAACTCAATATCCGGCTCGACTTCCTCCTGCTCGGCACCCGTCTTCGGTGTCATGGCCAAACATCCCATGCGGTAGTCCAAGACGGTCCATCGGAATGTACCCTCCAGACGGCGACGCTCTTCGGTTAACTTGTCAGCGCTGGAAAGGAGTTCGATCATTATAACTGAATCGACAGGCCCGTCTAGTGTGGCTTAAGATACTTACTCGACGTGTGCCAGCTCACGGTGATGGTTCACTTCCGTGCGTTGACGCTGCTCGCGCTGCCTGAACTTCTGCTCATAATCATCTCGAAAGAAGATGATTTCGCTTAAAGGCTGTTGCATCGTCTGGAATTTCTTCTGGTGCTCCGCATCACTTTTTGCAGCGCTAAGGATATCAGAAAACAATTTAAAGTTTGCCTCAAAGTTAGATGCCATCTCCTTCACTTACGGCTTTTCATTCGAACTACTATCCAGATCAATTATGACGGGCTGTGGTGGTGCACCTTTGGCTGCCACTTGAACGGGGGGCGAACTGCCGCTGCCGCTGCCGCTACCCGAGTTGCTGTCCGTTGAGTTTAGCTCGAAGACAGACTGGTGCATCGATGTCTGTTGCGGTGGTGTTGGCCTGGGGACGCTCTCCTTGGCCTTTTGCACCTGCCTGGAGTACTCGGCTCGAAGGTCTTGCGTGTTGGCATTGGGGTTCTTCTTCACCATGGCTGTCCAACTGGCCATTGGTAGGAGTGGCGGCGGGTTTGTGCGGCTGGTTTGCTTTCTAAACTCACTGATGGCCACGTCGCTTACGAAATTCACGTACTGCTCACGCTCGGCGAGACGCTCCATGCGCATGAGAAGACTGTCGTGATTTGGGGATCCGCGAATGGAGTGCGAATGATGCGGATGATGCTGATGTCCATTCATGTTTGTGTGTGGTTGCTCGGTGTAGCCATTCTGGCCCAGACGCACCGCATCCGCATACAGCAGCGAGGGGCGTACAAGCGATGAGGGTGCCGCTGCAGGAGCAGCAGCGTCCCCATGTGATGAGGACCGACCCTTCGGACCCCAACTGGCTGAGGAAGCAGTGCCAGTACGCCCATTACCGAGCGACAGTAAGAAATAGCCATCGACTGGCGGCTCATCATCGTCGGATAGTTCTATATTATTGCCGACGCCATGATATCGTATGACTTGATGTGCGGTTCGTGGCTCATTAAATATGGACAGACGCTTGTTACCCGAAGAGGGTATCTGCATACGGGTCATTGCTCCTGATTCCTGCTCAGCAAAAGACGCTGACGCGCTGGTGGTGGGCATGTCCTCGGCAATCGGTTGCGAAATGAAACGGGGAAATGTGCTTTCCACACGGCGATACTTGATGAAATTTTCCTTGCCGCCGTCCCGTTTTCCTCCACTGAAATAAAGTAAAAGCAGTAACAAATTTAAATAAATATACTTATGACATCAATTGAGAGTAAAATCAAAGGGAAACACTTACGAACGCTTTCTGGTGGTTCTGTTCTTTAATTGTAGAGTTCCTTCGTCGATGGCGGCTTCGTTGCTGCTTTATGGAACAGAACAGAGACAACAATAGATAACCAAATATATGCACACATACCTAATGTTATATTTCCCCTCTTTTGACTTACCGTGGACCTTGTGCTCCGTCGCCGGTTACGGCTACTTCAGTGGCAGTTTCATTTTTCTGACGTGTCCAGCTTTTCAAGAGGTTTCGCAGTTTATCCAACAAGTTCAATCCCATCGAATCGCCTACAAGTTTTTCTATTTGCTCAATGTCCTTCTGAAAGGCCACCAATGGCGTTAATTCCTCGGCGGACAGCTCGTACTCCGGCACAGCTTTTAAATCCTTCCACAGCTTAAAGAGTGTTTCCTGGCACAGTGAGATTTCGAACAGTTGCTGGGCTCGGCTGCGCTCTCCCCAAGGCCGCTTTTTTTTCGACCCAATTACGTGCAAAATCTGGTAAAGGGCTTTAACAATGGTTCGCTTGGATGTTGGTTCCACACCAGCTTCGGGGACGCACGCGTCTGGCTGCTGCTCTATTTGGTATTCTTCTTCAGCCGTTGGCTGTCTGGACTGTAGATTATGTTCCACGGAAAACTGCAGGCCCTCTTCTGGCAGTTCAGTTGGATGCTTTTGTGGAAGTGTCTGCTGTTTCTTGCCAAATTTCACTGCAGCTAACTGTGGTGCGGAATAGTGTGGTACTGTGTGTTGTTGTGTGTGTTGAGGCCCGTTGTTTTCACTTAAATGGTTGGTGCGTACCTTATTAAGGATCGGCGTTGGGTTTGGGCCATAGTAATGGAGATGATTGGCTGATCTATAGCTATGAAAATCTTGTGCATTTTCCAATTGCCCGAAGTCCTCGGGATTCTGAGACATACGGCTAAACTTTCGGTTTTCACCTGTACACTAAATCTGCAAGCGATCAGGAAAAAAAAAATGAGGTATTTTACTAGTAAACACGAGGTAACAAAGATAATGTGTGCCATTGAGTGCGTGCCGGCTGCAAAGTTTTTGTTTTACCCCTGGAGTGCCTAGACGCGTATTCTCGGCTTCCCGCTTTTCGCACACAACAGCCGCCGCGGCTCTTGATGCTGTTTCACTCCCCCCACGCCGCTCTGTTCACCATGGTGGTTCACTTACCGCTTAAAATCGTTAAACACGAAACAATTTTGAAAAAACGTTTTTACTAGCTTAGCTTTACTAACTAATTTTACAGAATAATTATTTTTTTTTTACTTCTCGGAGAGCTAGACAGTCAGTGTTGCCAGCTTAGCTATTTTCGCACTGGATCTAGCGTATAGCGAATGGAGAGAATTATAGCTATTTTCCAAGATATATTTAATTTTTTTGATATTTAGCATATATAAACCTTTTCAGAAATTAGATTCACCCCAGGAACAATGTGGTTCTAGTTTGCGAGATTCTACTGTTAAATAAACGTTTCAACACTTAGGCGTTTATTTTTATGCTACCCTCAAAATTATCTGGCAATTTCTGGCTTTCTAGCAAGTTTACTTTTTTATGACCCGAGAGTTGGCAGCACTATAGCCAGTGTGACCGCTGAATTATCGATAAAATATAACGCACAACCCTCAAAAAGATACCAAAATATACCATATCATTTTAAAAATATACCGTAAATATACCTTAAATCTTAAATAATTTTGCTCGACTTTGACGATCTATTTAATATTACTAGCAAGTAATTATTGTCAGCGTTAAATCTCTTTAATTGGATCGCTCACAAAATAGGGTTCAATTAAAATCATTCAAATCACAAAACGTACTTAAATTACCAAAAAGGCGATGTTATTGAACACCATGGTCCGATCGAAAAATTTCGAGGTTTTTCATTGGTTGAAAGTTAAAAACGCGTAAAAGGTCAGAAAAAATATTAAAAGTATTTATTTTCAATATAGAATTTTAAAGTACATGGCGGGAATGAAATGTAATAGAAAGTAAATCTTAAGATCTTCAAGGCAATGTTCTGGGCACTGCTGCGCATAGACGAACCCTGGCGCAATCTTCGAATCCCTGAGGGAGTTTGATAAATCTTTCGAAGTAAAACGGTTGTCCGCATGATCTTCGAAAGAGTCAGAGTGCGCTGAGCAAGAATGCACGGCCCTCTACTTCCACTACTGGACGCTACGGAGTGCTAGTGTGCACCGATTTTCTGGGCCGATGTCTCTTCCTATGTAGTTGCCATGTAGCAGAGAGCTGCTACATTTCCATCATGGCGGGCTTTTTGTATCGATTGGTGTATTGGTTTTTGGTTAATTTCTTTATTTTGTAATATCACCAACGAGCTACAACCGGAAGCACAAGAACAACGACAACTACCAAGAGATACGGAGGAATATGAATGAGAAGGAGGACGAGAGGGAGGAGGAGGCGTACCGGACCTAGTCGCTGCCCTGGCAGCAGAAGAAGAGAAAATTCCACAGCAGCGTTGTCGCTCCGTAGAGGGCCCCGGCAAGGCCCACGGTGGCTTGGAAGGAGTACCGCACGACCACCCAGTGGGCCAGGGCGCCCCACACGAGGATCAGCAGGCCGTTGGTGAAGTGCACTGGCCGCCGTATGGCCGTCCAATTGGCCCGCGTCATGCCCATCTGGAAGACGAGCTCCTGCAGAAAGGCGGTGACCACCTGGCCAAAGCCCAGCAGCACAGCGGAGACGCTCAGCAGGAGCTTGGACGTGGAGAAGCTAATGACTGTGCGGGATCGCAAGGGGAGGAAGGTAAGGATTAGTCTGCGGGCTCAAATTGGACGCGGGTGTGGCACACTCACAGATCAGGGCCAGGCACTTGCATATACTGCCCATGGTGTGCCACTGGAGCTTGTGCTTGTAGAGGCTTGTCCCGAAGCGCGGCGTCATCAGCGAGAAGCACATCCAGGGGAAGGCCAGAAGCGAGAACAGAAACGGAATCTCAGCATTCTTGAGGGCATGGTGCGTGACCGCCAGTCCCGGCAGCACTGTGAGGCACATCACATAGCTGAAGATGTCCGCCGAGAGCAGCAGGGTGGTGGCGTACAGCTGCGGCACGAGCAGCGCCTGCTGCAGCGGCATGGCAATCTTGTCCAGCAGATTCCACCACAGGTGCGAGGTGACTGCCCGCGACATGCGACGTATGCGATGCTGCTTGGCGGTTGCATGGGAGGGGATCATTAGCAAGGGGGCAGCTGGGGTGGAGAGGACTCACCAGATTGGCATGATTGGTGGGTTGCATCGGGGAGGAGTTGCCTGTGCCCGTGCCCGTGGCCGTGGCCGTGCCTGGATTGAGCGGCGGGTTCTGCAGATGAAGGCGGCCATTGGACAGGGATTTGTGTGACATTTGGGACACGGACATGCCATAGTTATCGATAGTGGCATTGCTGGAACGCATCATGGACACAGTCTCATCCTCCTCGGGTATGATCTCCATGATCTCCACGCCATTGGGATTCACATAAGTCACATAAGCCTCATCCGTGGCCAGCATGTAGTTGCTGTGTGTGTCCACAACGGCGGCAGCCACCACAGCTGCACCAGGCGTGGCCACCATCTCGGTCGCGGGATTGCGCCATGAGAGCATCTCCAGTCCGTCCATCTGATCTGCAACCAAATTGGCTGCAAGAGCCGCTCGCAGAGGGAGGGCGGCAAAGCCCGTCTCCGCTTTGATCACGGATATGCGCTTGGTGGTGAAGGCATCCTCCCGATGCTTGGTGATGATCAGGCTGAGGGGGATGAGGTTCACCAGCAGTGCGGACATCAGGACAATGGACTGGGCGGTGCCATAGAGTGTGCGCAGGCTGGTGAAGACAAACGACAAGAAGAGTTGGCAGAAGGCCTCGCCGCACAGGTGGATCGTTTTGCGCACATATTTGTCCTCCCGCGGACGCACCGCCTCCAGTATGACATGCGTCTTCCACAGATACAGGCTGGAGCCGATGCCTGCAAAGCAGCCATAGAAAACAATGGCCACCGCCTGCGTGGTGGTGGTGACCACTATCCAGGCCGAGGAGAACAAAATGCCGCTGACCATCAGCGACAGGCAGGCAATGAGCGTGGCCAGCAAGAAGACGCGCCGGTACTGTGTTGTCTCCCTCGATCGACCTCCATACTCTGTGTCCAGATGCTCCATAATAGAGCGGCACAGCTCACCCGTGGCCTGGTAGACAATGGCTGGCCATATGCGCAGCACCAGATCCTTGTCCGACTCCACAACGTTGCCGTACAGGTAGGCGGGCGTTGCCAGAAAGGCCTGCAAAGAAACAGAGAGAGTGTGTGAGAAAGAGAGTGAGTGATGGAGATTTGTGCGAATAAAGAGATATAGAGAGAGAGAAAGAGAGAGACTTACGTGTATGGCAAAGCCGCAGAGCATGTACTTCTGTTGAATGTGCTTCTTGACCACCCGCCGTCGCTGTATGCCAGCGGTGGCCCGGGCAGTGGGTCGGCGCACGCCCACGCCCACGCCCACTGCCACATTTGTAATCCCTGTAGACGCTGCCATGTACTCCGTATCTCTGTCCCTCGCTTTGGGTGTTGCCATCCGTTGTTGTCTGATGGCCTCTGAAAGCTTATTTCGAGACGTATCCGTATCCGTTTGCCGGGCGTTCTGTGATGCGTTTTGTATGCGGCTCGGTCCGTTCCGTCTAGCCGTGAGCAGGCATCATCATTTACCAAGCCTCAAAGCAGCTTAGGTAATGGCCAAACGGAAAGCGTTCACCCACACACTGAGAGCCACACAGAGACGCCCTGCCAGTAGACGGCGAGATGGGTTCGGTTCTGATAACAATCAACTCTTATCACTCACCCACAACCAGAGATATCTAGGTACTCGTATCCCTATCTCTGTCCACACACTGATGCATGTGTAGCCGTGAGATTAACGTCAGATATGCAAAGCGTTTTGTTTTGCCTGCAACTCCGTCAGCCACACAGTCACACAGCCGCACAGCCCCAAAAGCCCAACAGCCCCATCGTCAGCAGAGGATTATGTTTATGGCCAGACATACGCAGAACGCCATCATAGCCCATAGCCATAGCCATAGCCATGGCTAGAGACGAGCCAAATGATTAGGCACTGGCAGACATGCAGATACATGCCGAGTGCTCATTTGTGGAACGTATTGTCTCTCTGTCCCACCCTCTTCCCCCCAAATGGGTTCAACCATTGTGCTGTGTGGAGGAGTGTGCTTTGTTTTGTAATCGATTTAGGATTAATTTAGGATTAATGCAATGCATAGTACATGTGTGACTGCTGATACGCCAGTATGTCATAGAGAGAGAGAGAGAGAAATAAGATCAAATGATACCATGAGCAATAAGCGAACATCTTAGGATCCACTTTTCGTACATTAACATTAGCGAATGAGCGTGGATTGTATTCAGCGTTCACGCGGGAGTGGCAATGGTTCCGTTCCCCTTAAGTAACAAATAATTAACTTTTGTATTATTATTATTAGTTTAAAGAAATGCTTGTGACTAGCTCAAGGTTAGATAACCATTAATTATTGAATACTTTTATTTCTTCCACAACTATTGTAAATATTAAATTTTTATTAATTTTATTTATTATAAATCTTCTAGAATCATTCTCGCTTATGGGAAATTTGCATTCGTCATAGATTGATTAGGAATTGCTGCATGGAATTAAGGGCTCCATGAGATCCCTAGAACACAGATCATATATTGTTCGATAGCGAATGCTGATTAAAAGCAGTAAGCAATTTTGCGCAAATTGCGGATGCATTTAAGATAACAAATATAAATATTTATAATATAAGCACCTAAGTGTAATGAATATAATTCGACTTTGCCTGTTCCATTTTTAGTTTCTTTTCACTGGTACTTTTTGCGTTCTTTTTCTATGCACAATCTGCCAAAAAACTGCTAAAGATAGAAGATATATCAGAAGATAGACAGCTTAAGATTGGGGGTGATTATTCTTCAGCTTCAAGAGTGGGATGCGTCACACACTCATCGGCGCTTTTGTGTTTCTTTGTTATTCATTCTCTTGGGCATATATATGTACATATGTACATATATCGTATCGTATCGTATCCGTTTTATGACACAGTAGCAAAAAATAAAAAAAAAGCTGAGGACAAACAATTCCTATCTCGCCCGCCGCTTGACCTCCACTCCCAGTTGCTCCCGAGACACTTATCTCCACTTAGAGAAAGAGAGAGACAGAGAGAGAGAGAGAGAGAGAGAGAAAGATCTAACGCAGTGATATCTTTACACACTTCCGTTTCATATCCGTGGACTGCATGGTGGTGTGTCTGTGCTGTGGGTTTATGGGTTTACAACTGTATTTTGCAATTTATCCGGAGACGTCAGAGATGCGGGGAACAACACACTATTTTATTTGCAACCATATACCCATATACCCACATAGCCCTAGTCGTGGCCATAGCCATAGCCGCAGTTATATCCACCGTATCTGTGGCATATGAAGATGATGTGATGGCAAGGTGCTAAGCCCGATAGATAAGGCGAACTGCTACACAGCAGCATCCAAAGATTTTCGCTATATAACCGAGCGGTGGTCGTGTCATTAGCTCATACAACGATCGACCGACGTTAGCCACTGGCAACGACAATGAAAACGACAACCAGAACCAGAACCAGAACCACAGAAACCACATTCACAGTGCGCAGAACGATGACCGGAAAATTCTCGATGGCCACCTCCATTCTGCTGCTGTGCGCCGCCCTGGTAAGTGTACCCATTGATTGAGAGGCTGAGGATTGGGGGAATGACCCATTGGTAACCGATTGCAGCTTCTGACAAAGTCCTGCGGCATCCTGGCACTCAGCGGCGATGGCAACAATCAGCTGGTCCAGGCCGAACCCTGGAACGATGCCTCGACCACGACCGAGGGCAGCGGCTGGGAGACAACCACCCCCCTGCCGAAGGAGGAGACCACACAGGCACCCATCGAGGTGGAATCCACAACGCCTGAACAGGAAGGAACCACGCCAGAGGCGGAGACAACCACCTCAGCTGAGCAGGAGACATCCGCACCAGCTGAAGAAACCAGCACAGGAGCACCCCTTCAACCAGAGAGCACCACAGGAGCTCCTCTAGAGCCAGAGACCACCACCGGAGCTCCCCTGGAGCCAGAGACAACCACAGGAGCTCCTCTAGAGCCAGAGAGCACCACTGGAGCACCCGTTCAACCAGAGAGCACCACTGGAGCACCCGTTCAACCAGAGAGCACCACTGGAGCACCCGTTCAACCAGAGAGCACCACTGGAGCACCCGTTCAACCAGAGAGCACCACTGGAGCACCCGTTCAACCAGAGAGCACCACTGGAGCACCCGTTCAACCAGAGAGCACCACTGGAGCTTCCAACCAGCCCGACAGCACCACCTCGCAGGCTGGTGCCGGCGGAGAGCCAACGGCAACCACCACTTTGACTCCTGCGCCCACGCCGCCCGTCTTCGAGTGCCAAACGGCAGGACTCTTTCCGCATATCGGCGGCGACTGCAGGCGCTACCACAACTGCCTATGGAATCCGTTGCTACGCCTGCTGCAAGAGCAGGAGGGGGAGTGCCCCCCGCTGACGGCCTTCTCGCCCCAGCTGGGCCGCTGTGTGCGCGATGTGTCCGTGTGCAAGGACGACGAGTTTGAGTGTTTGGCTGTGGGACGCTACGCTGGTCACGACGACACCTACTACTACAGCTGCATGGCCAGCCTGCAGGGCGGACTCCACAAGTTCATTGTGCGCTGCTCCAGTGGCCAGAGATTCGAGCCATTGATTAGGGGCTGCTGGCGGTACGACTGGACCCAGATTGTGCCCGGACAGGAATCGCTGGAGTTGAGCGATTTGGCGGCCATCAAGCGGGAGCTGAAGCTGTACAAGGCGGAGGAAAAGCTGCGTCAGAAGGCCCTCAAGGAGCAGGAGAAGCAGGCCCGCAAACAGCAGAAGCTCGAGGAGCAGGCGGCCAAGAAGGCAGCCAAGGAGCTGGCCAAGCAGCAGGCCAAGGCCGAAAAGGAGGCGGCCAAGGCAGCCAAGGAGCAGGCCAAGGCCGATAAGGAGGCCAGCAAGGGGCAGTCCAACGAGAGCAACGAATCCGACGAGTAGTCCCAACGCCTTTGTCGATTGAGAGTTGAGCCTCCCTCCTCCCGAGAGCGAGAGCTCCTCTAGCACTACCTTGGTCCATTGCCCTAGTCTATGAGATCTTCTCCTAATTATTGTGTTTTTTTTTGTTTGTTTTGTAATGTATGGTATTAATAAAGTTCTGGCAACTAGACAGAAATATCTATTACTTTAGGGCATAAAGTGGGAATTAAAAGTGAAGAGATGCGATTCCCGGAACGGACAGATTCTCTTGAAGAGCTCAAGAATTGAATCTTATCTGCTGATTTACTTTATATAAATGCTAAGACAAAAAAAGAGAAACCGAAAGATGCTGTCTGCCAGATATAATTATTGGAGTTCCAATTCAGTTAGTTTAGCCGCGTATTTCGACTTACAGCGAGGAAGAACTACTATTCATCACACCTTTCATCCAGCAACCTTTACCAATATGCGAGAAAAAGCAGCAAAGATGCTCGACACCTACGAACGAACGAATGCTTCAAAACGGAAAGCTGTTTGTCTTGAGCATGACTAGGCCTACGTTCTTCGCTCTCGTGCAGCAGTGTGCAAAAGTTTTAAACAACAATTAAAGTTGAATTTGTTCCACTGGGAGGTCTGCATTTGGCGCTTATTGGGGTAAATGTTTGTATTACCTAGAGATACGAAACGATTCCTCGAAAGCCGCCTCATCCAGATAAGGCCCGAGTTCCGATTGATGTTGATCACTTATCTGGGAGGCATACGAATAGTTAGGCCCGCAGACGTTACAGGCCCACGCCACGATTTACTTTTTATCTGTGGCGGAATATAACCGCGTCGATCAGGGCAGGGAGGTTCGGCTATATAAGAGCCAGGCCAATGGTCCGACCAGTTAGTCCGTCGAACCAAGTAACGAGAACCTAAACGAACATACAACACAATCTGCACGAAATGTTGAAGCTTCCCATGCTCCTGGGCACTACCGTGGTGGTGGCCCTCATCCTGGTGTCCGCCAGCGCCTCGGAGGTTCCCTCCCTGTGTCGTCAGAGCGGCTATTTCGCCCTTGTGGATAACACGCCCGAGTTCTACGCGTGTCGTGCCTCTCCTGCCGGCGGTTTCTCCCTGCAATTCCTGCGCTGTTCTTCGGGTGCCGTCTTCAGCTCCAAGGCTGGCCAATGCACAGAAGTGACAGACCTGTCGAGGCTGGCACGAAAGGAAGGCAACATCGAGAACCCAACGATTCCACCCGACAATTTGGATGATAGCAGCAGCACGTCGGTAAAGCCGGTTGAGGCAACCACCGAAACGCCTATCCCCACCAAGGAAGCCGCAGGAGAGACCTCGGGGGAGCCCTCCACCGATGAGCCCTCAACCGATGAACCCTCTACCGATGAACCCTCTACCGATAAACCCTCAACCGATGAGCCCTCTACCGATGAGCCCTCAACCGATGAACCCTCTACCGATGAACCCTCAACCGATAAACCTTCAACTGATGCTCCTTCCACCGATGAGCCCTCAACCGATGAACCCTCTACCGATGAACCCTCAACCGATGAGCCCTCAACCGATGAACCCTCTACCGATGAACCCTCAACCGATGAACCCTCTACCGATGAACCCTCAACCGATGAACCCTCAACCGATAAACCTTCAACTGATGATCCTTCCACCGATGAGCCATCCACCGATGACGGTACTGGAACAACCTCCACCGACGATGGCTCTTCGGCCACCGAGGTGCTCGATTGCCCCAGCACAGGCTTCTTCCCCATGGATGACAACTGCAATGAGTTCATCCTATGCTACGACGATGGCAGCGATCTGCACTCGGCCGTCTTCAAGTGTCCTCCCGGTATGCAGTTCGATTTTATTGGTCTCTTCTGCAGCATCGAATTCGACTGCAAATCTGTCTAAAGAGATGGAGATAGAGGGAGAGAGAGAGTTGCAAAAAGGAAAAGAGCAAGAGCTAGTGGAAGAGAGAGAGGGATAGAGAGAGCATAGCAGCAATTGAAAAAAGCAATAAAACCATCCACGATGCTCGATTATAAACCCAAAACTGTACCCTTTTTTTTTGTTATTTCGGTTTTTTTTTTTTTTTTTTGAGTGAATAAACTGTAGAATAATTAATAATAATTTATTTGTAAAAATATCTTGCGATCTTGATGGGTTTTTCAAGTGGTATTGCGTATGACGGGAAAATCAATTTCATTCCCATTATCCGTCATGCCGATAAGGAACCCATTATGGTACAGCCTACAGCCCGGTCTGTCCGTTCCATGGGTAGACGGATGGATCGCCTGTGTATCTTATCACATGTGTGCCTGCCATTAAGACTGTGTGACAACTGGGCCACAATAAGTGACCAACTGATCGTACGACCGATTTGCAAGAAGAATGACAGAACTGTAGGGGAAGCCAAAGGGGAAATGCCATGTTCTGTGCGGTTCCTTGACTGCAGAGAATATCACTTTCTAAGCTGTTTATTTTATTTGCCACTTCCTGGAACAAATGGTATCTAATCTTCTTAGATACAGATACGAGTATTTATTTATTTAGACATCTTCTTTAATATGTACATTGCTTAACCGCTCGCTTGACCTCTTGTCATTGGTGGATCTTTTCAATTTATGGAGAGTACAAATAATTCAATTCTCTTGGAACTGTTTACGTTTTTGTGTTGGTTCCGATTGAAGCTCATTAGGATCCTTTGGCGTTTATTATCTCTCTTATTATCTCTCGTAGAGTTCTTGGAACATAATCTTATCTTTCCATTTGAAAGTAATTAATTGATATTTTCATTGGTATTTTAATAAGATTTCTTGGAGTATTTTTCTTCATAGTTTCTAACTCTGCTTTGTCGCTTTCGTGCTTCCTTTTTGGTCAAGATCTGATGACACATTCAATCACGTGACACGATAGTACAAATTCCTCAGTTATGTGTGGCACTTGTTCAGTGGATGGCTTCATGGCACTTCCGCATCATGGTTTGGTGGGATGGTCAGTGATCTGCCAATGAGTGCGATAAGTATGCAAAGCTTACTGGGGGCTCAATGAATTCTTAAATGAGTGAAAGTCTCTCCATCGACACAATGATGTTCGTTCGGTCTACTGGTTGGCATTGCATAAAGCGCCGCCATAGAGAAGTCGGGAGTCGGGAGTCGGGAATCGGGGGACGAGCTACGGACTATGGACGACGATGCCGCTTGGTTGGACAATTGCGCATGCGCGTAGCTCGTTAAAGCGTTTTTCAACGCCACTTCGCAGTTGCTGCGGCGACAATTAAAGCAGGCCAAAAACAAACAAAAAACAAAACAAAAAACTCCGAGCTAAATGTTCGCACTCGGTCGCAGTTCGAGGTTTTGCCGATATTGGACGCAGTCCAGGCACGTATCCATCCATCCCCCCCTCTGGGGGTAAACTCGGATAAACTCTGGGTACGTGCTAGTCCAAGTAGTAATGCCATTTGGCCCTAAACGGTCATAGGCAAACAACAGACTGGGATTGAGATGCGGTGGTGTGGCTATGGCCCCGCATCCCATTCTGCATTTCGAACAGTGGATCCCACTGTTTGACCACTTTCTGTTCATTTCCCAAATATGAAAAAACGAAAAACATTTGGCGACACCCCTGCGCGAGAGATAAATGGCCAGTAGATACAATTGTATCTCTAGTACGAGTTTCTGAGACTCATAGTTGTGTTATGTCATTTGCACATTTACACGTTGTGGCCATTGCCTTTGTCTCCTGCTCTCGCTCTGTCTGTGTTTTATGATATCTTTTATCTCGCTTTCACAGCTCTGACTCTGGCCAAGATCAACATTTAAATGTTGTACAATTATGCGAGAGCTGTCATCGCAAATGTGAAGACTCCTCTCCAAACGACACGAATGAAACGCAACGAAATGCGGCGGCCCCCATTAAGATTATGTGTGGCAGCAGAGGCGGCCACATGCAGCTTCCTACTAAAATGTTGAGCAACTAAACACGGTGATCATGAGTTGGAAATTAAGAAAATTATTGTCAACTCTAAAGGCAAATGGGAAAGACATTCATTCGTACTGGCACTCGTACCTTGCATTGTCGCATCCACCTGCTTTCAGTATTTGAAATATCTATTGATCTGTCTCTGATGCAATGCATTCGATAATTGAGGAAATCTACCAATGGAATGTCATCTCAGGATGAGCTAATACTTACTATAATTATGTAGTGGATTGCAAATGCCAGCCCAGACCAGACAAAGTACACCAAAAGATGGCCCTTTAGAGAGCCGTTCAATCGACGATCATTGGAATTTGCAAGCCTCTTGTCTAAAGATGCCATGGCTTAATATTAGTTTGTGCCACATGTGCGGGAAACATTCCTAGTTCTGTCAATTTTCTTGGCTTACTTTCATTATTGTGGGACCTACTTCTGTCAATAATTGTATTTTCTTTATTTCATAGTCTAATACAAACCCACCACAAACCATATTTTCTTCTCATAATTTGCAAATTGAATATCGAGAATTTTGTTAATATCCGCAGGTGACCACAGAAGAAGAGGAGGAACGTTGTGTGACGCCTCTAAAGGCGCGGCACTACTTTTATACCGGGAGGGTTCTCCATTCTGACAATAATAACAATGATCCGATCTGATTTTGATCTTTATATGGTTATTCTCTCGAAGCAGACGAACAGAGCCTCAGACAAAAGGATACAAGATTTTACTCGAACGCTGCGGTTCGATCTTGCCTGATTTCCCATGATATTACGACTGACCGACGCGATTCTACGATTTTACAACTCTCCAGTTGCTGTGTGGTTACATTTGCTTACATTTTGTGTGGGGAAATTTCGTTTTGAAAGACCCTCTGAAATATGTAGGACTTTTGTTTGCTTACATCTATGTAAATAGAGCTGTGCCCCAAATGGTTTGCCCCTTGGCCTGGTGCCTGGTGCCTGGTGCCCGTTGCCTGTTGCTTGGTTTCATGTCCCAGCTGAATATCTCTCCGTCTCTCTCTGTCTGTATCTGTACGCGTATATCTGTGTCTTTCCAGCGGGGAGCATCTTCGTGCCGCGATGCTGCCCCAGAGTCGTTGTCACAGATATTTGCAACATTTTGCATGTTGCCTTTGAGCGAACGCCGCCCGCGAGCGCTCACGTACAGCTGGTACTACGGTGGGGCAGCGTCACGAACCCGCGGCTCTCTCTTTCTCTCTCTCTCTCTCTGTCTGTGTGTGTGACTCTGCCAGACACTGCGACTCTGTGGACTCTCTACTCGCCTCGCCTTGCCTCGCCTCGCCTCGTCTCGCCGTTACCTGCCGCATATTTTCCACGCGCAGCGCTCAGTTCGTGGGCGCCTGCGCGCATGTGCAGTCAGTCAGTTTTCGTTTGCGGTGCGGTTAACAATCGAGATACGGATCGCGATCCACTAGAGAGATATATCAGTCAGAATATATATCTATCAACGATCCGTGGGAGCAGCGAGTTCCCAAAACAAAAGTGTCAAGAAAGAACACACATCGAAAATTGTGTGCCAAATATTGAAAATATTTTTGTTTGTATTTTTGTTCGAGTGCGCCAGCCGACTGTCAAGTGTTCGATTAAGAAGTGCCAGAGAATCGCTCAAAATATTCTCAAGAATATCAGGTAGCAAAAGCAAACACAAAGAGAGGATCTACTGCATCCCTCTTGAAGGGTTCGGCATTCTTCAACCTTCGGCAGAGTAGCAGCAGCCTTCAGAGGAGGCGCGGCAGTTTTTCTTGGGAAAACTGTATGCATTTCTAGTGCAGCAGTCAGTGAAGAAGAAATGGTGAGTTCCAAGAATTTGTTCACACGAAGACGTCGAGGGTTTTACGAGTGGTGCCAAAGACAGACCTAGGTCAGGGTTCAGTAACACAAACAGCAACAGAACCACGGCCAGAAAAAGAGAAAGAAACCGAAACTGAAACCGAAACAGAGCTCTGTCCTCTGGCTCTCTGCGGCAGCGGCTGACTTTGTAGAATTTTACGATTCATTTCGAGGCCTAATATTGTTTTTAAGTGCGAGTACGAGTATCCATTAAGTCTATGATCCCTTTCGAAGGGGCCAAAACTGGAAAGGGAAACCCCTTAAAATTGAGATGCCTAGGAGTTTATTTCATGGCAAAATCATTTATAATAGAAGAAACAAAATGTTCGTTAGAACAGATCAGGCTCTGCTTACTGAAACATCAATGAGAAGACACGATAAGCAGGGATTTATGTATACAAATCAAGAAGAAATATATTTAAATCTACAAACATAGATGTCAGCGATCACTGTACACTAGACACTGACATGCCATTGATCTCTAACCATTTACGACTTATTTATATCTCGAAACGGATGGAACAGAGAAAATCGAACACTAATATTATTAGCTCTCCATTAAATCCTTAGAGAATCAAGTTTCAGGTACTGTTGGACTCTGCAGAGATAGCTTTAGAAATGTGAAAAGAAACAGATCTGCCAATTATTGTTTGTTGTGGGGAATACCCCCTGCGGCTGTGCCTGATGCTGAGACCTGAAAATGGATCGGTAATCGTAGCAAATTGTCTTATTCGTCAATATCTGTTCAATCTGCTTGAATCTGTTTCGCTTTGATCACAGTAAAATGTTGATTTACTGAATCATTCGTTTGGGTGCCCTTTCCCATGGCCTTTGTGAGACTGGGAGCCGGCCGGAGGTGCGAGACGCCCATTAGGACGCTTATCAATCGCAGATGTCTGAGCGATCTGACACTGGACTCTGGCAATTGGCATGCCAATCACGAGTGGAAGATCGATGCCAAAGTGGCTTACGCTTACATAAGAGCCAGAAAGTGCGAGTACGAGTTTGAATATTATGCCCCAAAATATATGAAACATTTGGTCTCTGGTCGCTGGCAGGCGTAACAGGTGCGTTGAGTGCATTTCAATGGTATGGATAATTGTGCTGTGTATTGTAATTGAAATCCACAACAACAGAAAGCTCAATGAATGGGGAATATATGAATTTTATGACCACGCGAGATGCATAACGAATATACGCCACGTAATTGTAACACAAGACCAGACCCCAAAAATGCTGTGCAGATATTTGGTAGGAGGTATTGTCTTTAGGCAAAACCAACCAACCAGCCAACCACCCACCCACCCAACACAAATGACCAAAAAACCCAAAGACAAACAATATATACGATATAATATATTGTACGTCTGGCATGTACAATGGCAATTCCAATTGTGTAATTGTTGGATTGCATTTTATGAGGGCCGGCACTCGTCAGCTCTTTTTTGGTAGCTTTTGGTTATTTCTTTACTTTGGGGATATAGGAAGGAGTACGCACATCGTTGCTACTTTTTACGAGTATTCGGGGGCATGCATCATCATACTCGTAAAAACCAATAAGCAGCCAAGCATGGATCTATCTGGTGACCACTGGAGCACATGTTGATGTGGGGCCTGTTTGTGGGGTTAAGGTGTCATTGACTGGTTAATGCGCCTCCCGGCAGATGCACACACACACACACACACACACACACACAGCACGCACACAATTATATAATCGCCTTTAATGATGGAACTTTAATTTCACTGACGCTCTTCCATAGCCTGTCAACGCTTCAAGAAGAAAGAAACAGAAACAGATAGAGAGTGAATGCGAGTGAGAGTGAAACAGAGAGAGAGAATGCAACTCCTCGTTAATGCGATAATTCATATAATTGCTAAAATGCTAAAAATCTCCACATTGTCCGCACTTTTGAAACTGTTAAACTAAAGCACAGTTTAGTCTCACTTAATAGCTCGAATTTGACAGTGGATTAGAATGAACTTTGATTATAGATAACCGCAGCAGGTACTTACTGTTAGAAAATCCATAGCAGCAATTTAATAAGTACTGAAAACTCTCATTTAATATTTCTCATTTCTATTGAAATCTTTCCCCAAACTATGTGTTACCCAATCCCATCTCTTTATACCATTATTTCCCTCCACCCCATATGGTTTCCAATTCTGCAATGTTAAAGGATTTTGATTAATATTTTGTAGCTGTTATTCTGCTTTCTCCTCGTATCAGTGGGACTTCGCTAGTCCCTCTTCGATGCCCTATTTTATTTTTGGCAACTCATTTGCTTCCGTTTAGATCTCGGGGAAAGTACAAGCAGCGCTTCCGCTCGAGCAGAGACAAACGAAATTGAAACTTTGTTATGCAAATTTTAATTTTTGATCAGCAAAAATTTACATACATTTCCTGTAAATAGTTTGTCGCCATCTGAGAGTTGAGTTGAACCATATATGCAATGCAATAATGGGAGCATTTGAACGGTAGCAGTTATGAGATTTGATTTGTGAAATATATTTATGCTCTCGTACTCTCGAGTAGTCTGTGATTAGGGTATTACGCAGACGCAGACGCAGACGCAGAGAGTGTTACAGTGGGCTCCAATTAAGGCAATGGCCGGTGTAAATATCTGAAAATTAATGGCCAAAAGCAAGACCATTCATGTACTACCTACCCTATGCCATGGCTCTGTGTATCTGTCTCTACAATCGCTTTACTGCCGCACACTTAATCATAATTAAAATATTATATATCTGGCTCTGTGGCTCGTAATGACCTGCTTTATGAGGCTGAAAACACACTCACATAGAAACGGTGGAAAACAAAAAATTGTTTTAAATAATAATCAGTTTGCAATTTCACTTCAATTTTAACACAATCCACAAAGAGTCGTCCCAGTGCCAGTGGCAGTGGCAGTGACAGTCTCAGTTCCAGTTTCAATTCCAGTCACAGCCTCCAAAACTTTGAAGCGTCCGACATTAATAATTGGGGCTAGAGACAACAGAGAGATGTCTCTCGGAGAAGAGTTTTTCGTCGGTTTTCCCACAGACAGATCAGCTAGACATCCAAAACGCCTTTGGCCAGAACTTGCATAACGAGGAAGCGGCAGGCCCAGGCGCGGCAGAGTGAGAAAATGCCTCTAAAATACTAAATAAATAACGCGGCTAAAAGTCAAACAAAGCCCAGTACTAAACCACCAACAACCGACCAGAGTGCGACTGACCAACGTAACTTAATTGGCGTCACTTAGGCCAGCGAACAATCTTAATTACCGCATGGACCAACAGGTGCGGGGCGGGCACCGCTGTTTAGGCCAGACCAGACGGAGGTGCTCGACTTTATATTGCTGACCCCCGCCAAAAAAATAAAACACAAAAACCCTCCCAAAANGAAGAAAATAAAAGCCACAGAAAACCCAAACGGCACGCAGCTGAAAAACAAAAGAAAATCCATACAAACAAAAGCTGAACTCGCTTCAGCAAAAAAAAAAAAAAAAAAAACATTAATACAAGTATATGCCAGAGCACATGTACGACTATATATAGATATATTTATATGTGTGTATGTGTGCACCCGATACCGAGTTGTAACAATAAGACCAGGCTACAACAACCACTTTTACTTTTGTTTTCATTCGAGCTGGGGCCTCTTTTTTCGTATTTTTCTTACCAATTTTGAACATATTTCAACAGCCAAGTTCATCGTCAGCGCACAGTGGCACAGTGGAAGAATCAAAATATATCCCTGTACAAATGAAAAGCATTGTTAAAGCTTAGAGTAGTGGCATTGGCAGTGGATGTAGCTCAGAACTTAGTTTAATTGATCGTTGATTACTTCTAGATCAACTGGTTCTTAGATCTGGTGTCTGAATGCTTTCCTGTTCTACCATTGCTTAAATTCTTTCTTTGATTAGGTTTTGAAATACATTTTATACGAGAGAATGCTCTAGGCTTTTCATACATTTCTTTTCCACTGAAATCCACTGAAATCCCCCTGTACTCGCATTCTGCTTCGAGTCTGTCCCACTGTACCCTCTGCCCCATTATACCCGCTAACCCATAAGGCAGGTCGGTCGCCAGATACCGGCCCATACCAGTGCACTTTGCTGGCTTTTTGGCTTGTGCGAAAACTAAAGCAAACACGAGCCGGTCGACGGGGCGACCGAGCCAGCGGACGATCCGCGCGATCCACAATCCGAAGACCGGTTCTACGGGGGGGGGGCGCCGGTTGAAAGGTTTCCCCAACGGAGCCCCAGGCCCCGCGTTGTCACACGACAATTACACGCAAGTGTCGAGAGAGGGAATGGGGCATGTGCGGAAAGGGGAGTGGGGAGTGGAAATGCCCCTCCTGCCGGTGCGCGTGTGAAAAGCGCATAATTTTTGGACGCGGACAAATTTTCACTTTTTTCCTGAGCATCTCCAGCGACGCGACGCGACGCGACGCGATCCGATGTGCTCCCTCAACGGGCGGATTTTTTCTCTTTTATTTTTCATTTCATTTCTTTTTTCTTTCCATTCCATTTGGTGGGCTCCCTGCTCGCTTTTCTTCTTATTGTTCCGCAGGGTCACACCAGACCAATTGGAGGAGCCAGAGTCAAAGCCAAAGCCAGAGCCAGAGCCAGAGCCAGGGCCTGTGCCACAATGCGCCGATTATGCTGGCAATCGGTGGGAATCGTTATTGCTGCTGTTATTACTCGTATTATAATGCCGGGTCTCTATTTTTTTTTTTTTTATCTGGACACACTGTGTGTGTGTGTGTGTGTCTGGTGGGAGCTTGTTATGGTCAAAAGGGGGGCACGGCCCTCGAGCGTCTGGCTACCTATATCACTGTCGAGCTCTCATTGCAGACAGACATTTGGGCCAATTATTATCTCTTGACTCTTTCCCCCCTCGGCTTGTCGCTGGATTTACGAGTATGATGTGGCTTTGGCACGATCATTTGCAAAGAGTTTATCATCTATTGGGGCC